ATAATCTTTCTCCAAACATCTTACTGAAAACCTCATCATGAGGTGATGAATAGATGCAAATCACTCTTGAAATCTATTCTACTAGACATATTAAAAAAAAAAAAAAGCCTGACACACAACAAAAGCCAGAACTAAACCTGCAGAAAAGCTTATGAGTGATAGTGAAATTTATCCTGTTTCTTCTATTTTTTACATGGAATATCAAATGCCAGCCATTAAAATAGAAACTTTTATCTACAAGTAAAAAGGATATTGCAGTGATTCTCTCCAAGCTTTTATGTGTAGAATTAAAATGTACACCCTGAGAGCAAGCCTCATAAAAATAGACTAAGTCCATAAAATTGGACTAAGCTTCTGCAATGGGCCTGTTGCATTATTTTCACTATTACAAATTGCTAGTGAACAAGCGATGAGCAATAATTTCACCAAAATTAGGTACATAATTAATGTTTTGCTTTTTTAGTGGAATGTTTTTCAGTTGGAGGCTGAATTTAGAAAATGTGATTTAGAAAAAACAGATCACAGTTCTGATAGATGACTATCTCCAACACATAAGCTGGCTGTGGCTGTGATGTCCCCCCTGGAGGCTGAGGCTGCTGTCATTAGTGGAGAGACCTTGACACTCTATTAGACAGTTACTCACTAAAAAATATTCATTATATTCAAAACTCTGCCTGAAGACCTGCCTAAAATGCCACAAGCACTAGTCTCAGCTGGTGTAAATGAAAGCAGCTTCAGTGGCTTTGTCAGGGTGGAGACTGCCTTCTCCATCTAAAACATCTGTCCTGGGTACCCGTTTTCAGCATCTCTGCTCTCACCACCAGCAAAAAGAAAAAACTTGCTAAATTTTCTTCATTGTTAATCATTAACCTCTGGCTGCATTTTCATCTCTAAAGCAGCATGCACCTATTTGTTTGGTATGATGCTGATACATGATGATTTTTCTATAGTAGTGTTTTGAAAGCTTCTGTTATTTTCTTAACACCTCAGGCTTTCTTATTTTATTCTGCTGCCTCGATCCATGCAACAAGTCTCCAGCTACAAAACCATGCACAGCCTGTGCACCCTGCAGATGCCTCCCCCTTCCAGCCTCACTGTCACCACAAGGCTGATGTGATGCCAATCCCAGAGGGCAGAGCTTCTGTCCTCCTCACACGAATGGGCCCTGACGTGCTGAGCTGGTTCCCGCAGGCAGAGTCCCTCTGAAGATGATGCTGTCTGACAACGGGAATCAATCCAGCATTTCTTTATCTCATTTCAGAGCAGCAGGACTCCTGGGGCTGCGACACTGAAAATGTGCCGTGTGTTACCCATCCTGATCAAAACACTCAACGGTGGTCACCGCCCTGGACACGCTCACACAGGGGCAGCCCAAGGACTGTCAGAGCCAGGGGCGCCGCGCCGAGCCCCGCTCCTGCCGGAGAGCAATCTGCTGCCTGACGAGATGCTCCCATCCCCTGCATCAAAACCTTAAGCTTTTCTTCTTGGACACAGAGATTAAGGGCAATCCTGACAAATTCAAAACCGGATCAAGTATGGTACCTCAGTCAGATGAACTGCTGTCCTACAAATTGCCCAGCCAGGCTGCACTCCTGGACTTCTCATAGGAACCTGTCCCCTCCAGTTGCACAGGTTCAGCAGCCCCAGGCAGCGCCTTTTCCAAACCCATTGTGGCAGTGTAGGCTTCACATGAATTGCAAAAGCTGAGCTAGTTGGCTACACACCAACCAGGTCAACAGCATTTAAAAAATCTTTATTATTGTTCAGCTTCCAGGCACACATACCTACAGACACATATCTGGGAACTGACAGCCTAACAAGACATTTGTCTGGCTTCTGATCCTGCCTTGAAAAAGCCTTTGGGACATGGCTATCTGCCGAATATCAGACCAAGCATCCCTGTCCCATAGTTCTTGCCAGTTTACTTCTCAAACAGCACTTCTGCCCCAAATGTCCATGCAATTGAAAATCATGATAACAAATGGTTGAATTAGAATAAGGTTATTGTTGCATAGAAAACCAGAATCAATGTGTTATGCAAAACAAGCAAATTATTATGAACTTGTGTCTTATTCTTTTTAACCACTATTTTATAGTGCCTTTATATCTATAGATACACACACACACACACACATACACACACACATACACACACATTTTTATCCATTAACACGGGATGTGAACTTCAGACGCTTTGGGCTTCTGCTAACCAACAATTGTAACTTCCCTCTAGTGGCCAATTGTTGCTTAAATGCTAGTGAGTGAAGACCCGTCTGCCTCTCATTATAAAAAAGATAAATCAGCTTATTTTAGAAAAATATATCCGAGTTTCCATTTTGATAAAGTTTATGGTCATTGCCTAATTGTAGTAGAACAGCACAGGCTCTTTCCTTATTCAAGCAAAACTTTGGAACCAAGCACCTGTAGTGAAAAGGACAGGAAGGAAAAACAATCTCAGTTAAATAGAAATTCTTGCTGGATAATTGTTCAAGTGATGTAAGTATACCAAAAAATTGTGGTTTGTACTGCTAGAAAATAAAAGCTATAGTATTCACTTATAGGCAGGGTAACCAGTTTTCTTGTGCTTTTCATGTGGTATTTGTGCCTACAGGCCATCATATAGCCTAGCAAAGGCCATTTTCCCTCTCCTTACTGGAAATCAAACTCTTCCTGTCCATGTCAGCATTCTTTTACATTCATCTGTCCTCTGACTTGTCCAGAAACTGTTGCAATTAGCTGTCTTTTTTTTCCCTCTCTTCAGTTTTATTCTTGAAGAATCTCTTTAAAAACATTAATTCTGGTATTCCATGTTTGGAGACCTCATTGTGTAGGTTCTTTACCTATCAGTTTGTATGGCTTCCTTGTATCTTCCTTATCTCAACAGCTAGGAGAATGCCCACTTTCCTCATATTACTGGAACACTACTAGTCAAATTCCTAAGAACAGGGAAAAGTATCACTTCAGATTGCCTTGTCCTATACCTGCAGAAAGCGGGTGCTTTCCAGGAGATAGTTTTAGCTTACTTCAAAAAGTAAGGAAATTAAAGCAACAGCCTTGTGTGTTTGATTGGCCAGCTGGTTACTACTTCCCCTATGCCAAACCTACAAACTTCCTGGCAATTCTCAATTGTTTGACTGACATTTTTAAGATTGTCTTGAAGATGTCTTAAGATTGTCTTACATCTTTCTAAGTCTCCTGGAAAAATAACAAAATAAATAATAATTTAAAAAATCAGGAAGGAGAGTGATGTCCTATTGATCTATTTTATGCTGTTTGTCACCAACATACAGTCTGGTTTGCACCCAGCAGGCTGTGCTGCTCCACACAAGCAAGGGCTCCTGCTGCCTCTGCCATTTGTCTGTTTTTCTCTTTTCACCATTCAGGCCAGCTATCCTACTATCTGTTGGTCAACTCTTTCCAAGAAACCTCAGATATTATACTATTGTTCTTGCATTTTCTCTGTCCCAGCAGTTTCATTTTCACTACCTCTTCTTGCCGCACCAGAAGGTAAACTTTTCATGCCATAACTCTCTTTCATTACAGTACATATATTGCAGAATGTCTATTTGAAATATATCCTGAACACTGCCATTTGGAAAACTTCATTTCTTCCCTTAGTCCTGTGAAGTCTTGAAACCCTTTAGATCTTTGCAAACACAGGGCAGAGGAGTGGGCTGCTCTCCTCTCTCAGGTAAGATGTTGGGTTTCAAAACCAAAATATCCCTCTTCTGAATTCTTGGGAACATGGAAAATGTAGCAGCACCCTCTGGAAGATACATATCAAGTACAGTTTACTGTCCAAGGTCAATGTAGTTCATTCCTCAATGTAGCGCAAGACCTGGTAATTTTTAAAAAGTTTGGCACCAGAACTGGACTGACTAAACTTTCCCTGTTAGAAAGCTCAGGTCTGGTCTGAAACCCATATTTGTACAGCATGGACTAGGTATGTTTCCTCCTCATCGCTTATATCCAAAATGTGACAGAAAGCCAGGCAGAATTAAATCTAAGCAGTGGCTTAGATTTCTGACGTGATGCCACGGGGTTTTTTTCAGCTGGCAGAGAAACCACACTACCTTCTAAACTTCTTTATTTTAGTTGAGCACCTTAGGGCAAGACAAAACAGGTCAAAAGGCTGGCTGGGTCCAGGTGACAGGAGCTGTCTCCTACCCTGCCTCTCTCCAATTTAAACATGTGCAAACCTATTACTTGCCAGCTGGCTTCAGATTTATCCGGAGGGACGAAGCCAGTGCTGCCAAATACAAAATAGCACAAACTCCTCCAAACCCAAATGAAGAATCATCCTTCAGGTATTGAACATGATCACAATTTTTTACCAGCTCATTTACATGTGAGCACAGTAAGGAATGTCGTGGATATTTTTGCTGCCAAAACTCATGAGAACACTGGGATAACCATTTTTCTCCTTGCTTACAGTCACAACAGATCACGTCTACTGTCGATCATAGTCCTGCTGACATGTATTTATCTTGACAGTTTGATCTAAAGTTTCCACTTCTCATGTGCAAAGAGCAGCCAGAGATTAAAACATGATGGCCAGTTGGATTTACTTTCACTCTAGGGGCATCATTTGGGGGTAGATTCCTACAAGTAGTACATTCAGTTATTTCCATCTTCCCACAAAACCAGTTCCTGCTTCTGCCAAGTCTCTGAAATGTTCTTTCCTAAGGTAGATGAAGGGGGGAAAAAAGAGAGGGAGTGGGACAGAAACATAACAAAGGACAATTGCTTTTCAGAAATTATTGGAATCTCATTCTCTTTCTGATTTTCTCCCCCCCCCCCCCGTTTTTTTTTTTCAGAAAAGAAGACACTTCCAGATGGTAGCTAATATTTCTTCATATATAATTCCTAGGATTTCTGTTTTAACATAGACCAGACATCATGAAAAGAGAATTTGGTTCCCAAATCTTTTGCCACTTTGCCTCTGCTAAGAGGAAATTGCGTTTTCCTAGGAACAATGTGAGAATAGATTACAAGAAAAATTACGATTGGGGTATCCTCTTTAATTCCCTCAGGATTTATACAATCACTTCAGTGAGAATAAAATCAAAAGCAAAGGTATATCAGTAAAAGAAAAGTGTAGCAACGATACGTATTAGTACACTTTGGGGAACATGCATAGATAATGTATGTGTGTCTCCAAAAATTGTTACTGTATGAAATCCTTCTCCCCAACTATGCCTAGGGAACTCAGACCTCTCTTTTCAGGAAGTATTCTTTAATTGAAACAGAAACAGCTGTATTTCATATCTCCCAGGCAGTCTACATTGCTGCAAAAATCAACAGATACCTGTACAAAAACCAAGGCAGCCGATATCTGAAGATATTACGAAGATATTTGAAGATAAAAGTGCCAGAACTGAGTCTGTGCAGGTGACAGGAGCAGAAATATCCAGGGGTTTCCAGTTAATATGGGAAGGCTGGCAGAATGGCTTCTGATTCAGTGATAAGATCCCTCTTTCAAGTATCATGCCCACTCATCAGCTTTGGATACATCTCCTGAAGCACCTGCATCTCTTGGAATCCATGGCTCTCCTGCAGTCTTCTACGCAGATCAGCTGCCCTCCTGCCCAGTCTGTTTCCATTCATATATAGGATAAACAAGATATGAAAAGAGCATTCCAATGGATTTTGTGTACTGTAAAAGATGATGACTAAAAATTCCTCACTTCATATTTAAAAACAGATAACCATAAGTTTTTATGTCAGACAATTCCTTTAGGACACAAAATCCTTATTTGGGATCCTATCTGAGGGCTCTTGATTTCAAATCAACATTACTTTCTCTTATTCACTCTTACAGGTATGGAACATGACTGTTTCAGTTCTTTTCTTTGCAGTAATATGACTAAATAAATAATAAAAACATTCATGGAAGTAAAATGTAAATCACAGGTTTCAATTGGAAACGGTCAGACAAATTTACCATTTTTTCAATTGGTAGCATGTGAAGGTATGCAAGTTTCTGTAAATAATTTGGTGTCAGTAATGGAAGTTCTGTAACATCATGGGAACAACTTCTGTCAGAGCTCTTTCATGCTGTTTTACTATGTTGAAGTCTTAATTACAAGACTAATCTGATGTGATTTTTACTGCTAGCGTAAACAGAACAAACAGTGAAATTTTAAAACCACATTTATTTTTAATACAAAATCCGTTGCACTATTACAGAAGTGAGCCTGTATGTTTACCCCCACATGCACAGATAATTCAGCATCTACAATTAAATAAGAGTAAAATGATATTTTTTTACCAAAACCATTGGCAAATCCTGTGAAGAAATGTTCTCTTTGTGCTTTGTAATCAGTGTTCATAGAATTCATTTTGTATTTCAGTTCCCATTAAAAAAACTGACCAATGGAAAGCTCAAAGGTGCGAAAGAAGCTTATTACAGCTGGGTTACATTTGGGATTACTTCAGTTGTGCTTTACCTACAGTATATACATGAAAGCTGCAAGGTGTCCTATGGGCTAATGTAGTGCACTGGCAAAAGCTCTGAATGGTTCAGTTGGAATCTGCAGTAAATGAGCAGATAACTATTTTATTTTCACAGAAAAAAAAAGAAAAAGAAAAAGGAAAAAAAATTAAGTAGATGCTTTAAAATACCATGCACACCAGTGGCTATAGTACTTCTTACACAGTACAACATAAGCTTTCTTGGTTTATTTGTCTGTAACACCTAGAAGCATATAGCATCTACGCTTTAAGTGTATTTACAAATTCAACAAAATATCTACATATAAAAAGCTTACTTAAAATTAAACTTGATGCAAGTTATGAAAAACCAATTTATTGGCAAATGAAACTGAGCATTCCTTCAACCATAGGTTGTTATAAAAATTTATATTTGGAGGTAAACATTTGATTGATATAGTATGCGAGAAAATAATTTTTTAACCAATAAGGGAAATCCTTTACCAATAAACCGTATTAGCACTTGTCAGATGGAATGCTGTGGTCCGAGCGTAACCCCCACACTGCTTCAGGCTGGAGATAATTACAAAGCTGCCACACTGATCAGGCTGGGACACAGAGAGAAATGCACTCTCACCAAATGATGGAGTCAGCTGCTTTGGGTTTTTAATGATTTATTTTACAAGAGCTTATTCCTTGCTGTGTTAGTAAATAATTTAACTCTGGTTGTGTTTTGGGATTTTTGTTTGTTTTGTTTGTTTTCATTTTTGTTTTAAGTATTCTAAGGCCATGAAAACATGTTGTGCTGTAACTGTGTAGAAAGCTTTTTCTAAAGGGAAAAAAATCATTCTCTTCTTTATGTAATTTAAAATATTTTAAACTTTCCATTTTTAGCACAACAGTTTCATAACACTTCTTTTTCTTCACATTTTTCCTTTATTTGGCAATGACAGTAGTCTGCTAATCACAGTTTACTGCACCAACTGATTTAGTAGTACAGCACATTACGGAATGCATATTGTATAAAGGCACTGAATGTAATTTGCCCTGTGTTTTCTGGAATATTTTCCTTAATTTTTAAAGTTTTTCTTTCAGTGACTGTAAAAATTCCAAAATGCATTGCAATGCATATCTTTTATGCCCTAAAATCAATTCAATATGTTTTGATGTAAAAATAGAACACTGTACTGCCGTAATACTTGACAGATTAAAAAGGCTATAAAGTAATAGGAGCAAAGAGCAGATAATAGGGTCTCATTAAGCATCAGCAAATGCAAGTGTCATACTTAAATCATTTAGCATTTATATACTGTACATACTGTTCCTAACTGTCTTGCAAAAAGACATATGATAGCTAGACATTAAGTCACCAATTTCACAACAATGTCCACAAAGACATTGAAGTTCTATATAATACTACTATAACACTCTGACATTGAGAACGGAATTCATATCCAGGGATTCAGCTGAGGACTGCATAACAAATTGTCAAACCATGTCTTTATAGTGTACACGAGATTATCTGTGAGTTGTGTAGGGGGTTTTTTTTCCATGCATTTTACTGTATTTTCAACAGGAAACAAAATTACAAGCTGATGTTACTGTTTGTGTCAGTTCCTTTAAAAAAAAGTAAAAATACCCAAGTTTTGAACAAAATTTGAATTTTCTATTTTGACTCATAGTAACATACCACTTACTGTGTCATTATGCTGTGTACTGGTGTTAACCTGCATGTTCTCATAGCATTAACTTCTGGTGGTGAGGAGCTCCGATACCTGCGTGTTCATAGTATGAGAAGGAGGATGTACAAGTGCTTTAAGCAAACTGGAGATACAAGGGGATCAAGTTCTGTGGTTACACAAATGAATTCATGGCATTTACAGGAGAAGGAGCCTCAGAGCTTTCATTTCCTTCTGCAGGTTCTTTCTCTTTTTTACCACTATATTGTCCAATAAAGGAGCCATCCTCATTGAACTGACCATTTACACCTTCTCCATAGTCAACTAAACTATCATCACTGTCTTCTTTTTTCACAGTTCTGTCTGAGGGTGTCCGGCTTCCTTTTTTTAGAGGTTTATGGTCCTCTGCATCGCTGCAGACACAAACAAACAAACATGGGATTAATGGATGTACTGTTTATTAAGACAAAATCAGCCATGCATGCAGATTTTATGAAAAGCATGTGTGCAGCCCTATAATCCTTTAGTAAACCCACATCACATTGTAGAGACAAATCAATATGATGCAGTTCACATGGAAACATGGTGTAAGAATGGTTTAAACAGAGAATGTCTTCAGTGGCAGGAGGGGGAGTTGTGGTTTCTTTTTTTTTTTTTCCCCCATCGTGCATGACTTTTCAGTGGTAAGACCTGGGCCCTTGGCTTGGAGGTCATGTAGATGCAACTGCAAGCATTAAGAAGTGGGTTGTAAAGCTATAAAAAAAATAATTTGTTTGTTCTCCAAAGTAACAAGCTCATGATGTGCCATGAAGTTAGTCTGTTAAACTTCTTAATTTCTTTGACTCCTTGAAAATGAATGAGGAATGAATTTGGTTAAATGAAATATACTGATTTTCTTTACTAGTATAAAGAAAATAAAAGAGCTGCATTTCAAATAATTTGTTACATAATGCAGGCCAGACTTGCAATTTTTAACCTTACCTTTCAAGAGACCTACATATTCCATTAAATGGGTGCAGAAGAAACAAATGAAAATAGCCTAAGAAGAAAAGCAAAGTCCATATCCTGATAGTGATCAGTATTGTATCAATAATAAGTTGCTCTTAAAATTTCTACAATATTTACTGTATTACAGGTAAAGCAACAATTTAGCTTACAGTAGCTAGAATTGAGGAGTTGAGAGCATGCTTAGTCTTTTTAATTTCTTATCAGATCCATCTCCCTACCCTACTCCATGACTGATAATGTTCTGACAATGGTGATGGTGATTTGGAGGACAACAGAAAAAGGAAAGGAAAGAAAGGCCAGTAGAGGAGATCCCGGTAGCAAAGTACTGTGGTCTTTCCTTTGTCAGTGAAAAGCTGCAGCACCATCAACATCCTCAAATAAATTTGCAGCTGTGGTAGGCTTGTATTTCATGAAATAGATATAGTTGGGCTCTTTTCAGAATCCTTTACGTTGCACTTCAGTGTCAAGATGAGGATTTCAGCAGCAGCTCCAAAGCATTTTGAATTGAAACCCACCATTGCCAGCTGCACTTTTGGGTGCAATTATATACCTTGTCTTAAACAGAACATGTGACTTGATTTGCATATAGGGTACAAAAAAATGAAGTGGTTTGGGGTTTTTATTTAGATTCACAGCTTATGGGAAATATAAAGAAACACATACAAAATATTAAAGAAACAAAATTACATTTTGCAATTTCTAGAACACTAGGCTGAATATATACTCAGCAAATTATTTTAACCCTCTTATTCCTAAAACCTTTATTCTTATAAAATAATGCATTTTTTTTCTAACTAATACCTTTAAGCACCCAGAGAAACCATATATATGGGTGTGTGTGTGCATACATATGTATGTAAAACACAAACACAGGATGTACAAGGCCACATCAGATCATATAGTTAGCCAACAAAAGCCCTGTTGAGAAACTGTTGCTAGAAAACCATTACTGCCATTTTCCATCAAGCTGTTTCTCCTCATCACCTTTTTTTTTGTTTGTTTTGGAAAACACTAAGTTATTAAATTCTAAAAGAAGGCTACCTCTAATATGCATATACTTACAGAAAAGTATACCAGAGATTTTATCATTCTGCATATACACCAGAAAAAAAGTGGTAGGAATATCTCTCTTATTTACATGTAAGAAAATCCTCATGCTCAAAGCACACAAAAGAAAAACCTCCAAATGTGACTGTATCAGGCTTGATGTTTTACTTATTGTGGTGTACAAGGCACGAGGATAAATGTCATTCATCTGTGCTCACTGGTGCTACAAACATACAGGCAAATAACATTTAAAAGACTGTACTCTAAAATTTCAAGAATCCAGCAGCAAAGTGAAAATGTTTGTAACACTATGAACACAAGCAGATTACAGAGACATTACTGAAGAGAGTTCATTTTGGAAGGACCCCATATTTAAATGTTGAAGATGGAATTGAGTATTTAATACTCATACACAATGTAGTTTCTCCAATGCCCCCATCAGAAGGTATGAACAGTTATTTAAAAAGACTGCACGAGTCAAAAGAAGGCCAGGCCCTCCTGCTGAAATTGTAACCAGTCCTTCTCCCAGGGAAGATCTGCTTTCTGGGTTACTCTGTTAAGGAAAGGGCACTGGTATATGGTTTGCTGTTTAATTTCAGGTGAATAGCTTCATAGTTCTTTACACCATAATATGCAGAAATTAAAATAAATTAAAATTGCAGTTGTATCATATTCCGATTGGTCATGAATCTCTGTGCAAATATTCTAAAGTATGACTCTAAGCCAGTGTAATTCACTAGGTTGGAATATACATATATAAACAATATGCCACTACTGTATAAATACACCAACATTTTTGTGTTTAATCCAATGAAAGCTTGATTTGCCATTACAATTTAGAAAAATCTGAGTATGAGAACTGCTTTCTGTTGCTCTTCTGGTTTTCTTATTTATATTTTTGCAAATGAAGTTTATTTATAAGACAAACAATGAAGAAATACTTACAGAGTTGCATTGAGTATAAGGTTTTTTTCTATATTTTAGTCAAGATGTGAAATCCACAATCTCTATAATTGAAAGCAAACAAAACTGCAGATTTACCCAGGAGTGCAACTACATGGAGGTGGGTACTGGTGTGAGAGCACAGTCACAGAAACTGCAAAAATCAAATCTGAACCCGGGGATTCCTTCACTTGTTGCACTATATAAGTCTAGAGAGAGGTTCTGTCAGGACTCTGGCAGTGGGAAAAACAAGTGGTATTATCCAAGATGCTTTACACTCCTGGTTCAGAAAAGATAACATATGCCATGGTACCATTTTGTCTGTATCAAACTGGATTATGACTCTTAAAATGAACACAGTGTTTTGGGTGGAAGAGAAAGAAATTGGGAAAAAAACCCCAAACAAATAAGAAAAGGAGAAAAAAGTGAACACATCAATGTTTTGGACAACACTTTTGCTACCCTGGGGATTCAAAACAGAGGAGGGGCTCTGGTGGTCTGGCAAAATGAGTGTATTATCTGTTTCCTGACAAGAAGCAAACTACAAAAACTGCTGAATTACATTAGGAAGAGCTATAGAACACTTTAGACAGTAGAATATATAATATTTATTGCCAAAACATAGTAAAGCCATAAATTTTGATACTGTACCCACAAGGTTTGCCAACCTTGCTTACAACTGTTCATAAAACTATTCCAAAGTGCAATCAGGATAAATCATATTTTCTTTCTGTTTCTTTTTGGGGTTTTGCTTGCTGACTTCTATTACATACCTAGTGTAATACTGTGATATTAAAAAATAAAGTGCAAATTGGGTTGACTAAAATTACAGTGCTAAATTGAAGAAGTTTTTTAAAGCGTCATTTATGCAGTGCATACAATTAATAGTCAGAAAACAATACTTGATGGGAACCAAACATGAGGTGAGAATGGGTATGCTTTATTTAGAGCCATGGAAGTTAAGTGTTGCCATACTTTTACTATTTTTTGCTGTAAAAATAAATTCCATACTAGTATCTTTTTAGGGATGCAAATTTCTCAAAGAAGACTCCTATGTACCAATCATTTTGATAAGTACTTATATGTACCATATACACTTCTTTTCAGTAAGAAAAGTGTTTAATATTAAAGCATATTCTAAAAGCATGATTTAAATATTAATCATTAATGATTGCTATTATATGAATATGTTTCTCTTTCTTCTTAGTTTAATGAAACACATCTCAAACTTGAAGTTAATTATTAAGAGATATAAGAAGTATGAAGGTAACAATAACATAAGTGCAAAGTACAAATTTATTTGTTTAAAAAAAGTAATTCCATTTCACAAGCTTATCAATTATTGAAAGAAATATGTACCTTGAAATCTCCTTTCTTCTTTCAACTTTTCAATTTTTCTTCCTTAGATATGGGTACATGCAGCAACCAGTCAGAATGGGGAAGACACTTTTACGATGCCTCTGCAGTCCAGCAGGCAACTAGTTCCCAACTAAACTTTGCCACATTCACAGACATGCAAAAAGACTCAATATATGGTTAGCAATATACTACTTTTCCTCACAGCAGAACTGTCAGGTGAAAGGCAACACGAAACAAAGTGGATAAAACATTCTGGGCAATGAGACACAGAAAGTGGATGCAGAAGATGAAAACTTTTAGCAGTAAATTCCTTTTTCTGTGACCTCAGGTCAATAGCCCAGAACTGTTTAAGTAAAAGCAATGAGGTAAAGCCACAGAAATCCCTTCCTCTATGGCTTCCCTGCATACTCCAGGAGAATCTGTCCCTATACCTAAGAGGTTTCTGCTGACACTCTTAAATTATTAGGACTGTGAGTCCTAATATTATTACAGTCAATCCAGACTTCAAACCATTTTACTATTTCTTATTTAAGCACACCTATATTAGTCTTCTGAGTAGTTTTTCATTAACATCTCTCTAATATTCAATCTTCAATCCTGACAGAAGCTGGAAAAACTGGGTAATGAAGCCTTGGCTTTAAAAAGCAATGTGCTGAAAAAGTTGTTAATCACACAAGTATTAAAGAATTAAAACAAGAATTGTCAAAGAAAGTACATGTGCATAAATTAGAACACAGTGAGACCACTGCCAAATCCAATTGGACTGTTCAGTTCTTCAGGCAGTCCACTGAGATAACCTCTTGTTCTGGAAGGGACCAAGCTTAGAATTACAGTCTTGAGGCACAAATCATGGCTAGGTCCCTAGGGAAACACACCTAAACTGCAAGTTAAGTAACTACAAGAGAAAAACCCCACAATTGTGGTTACAAACTTTATTTTCATTGTTAGTTAGCTCAGCAGAAGGAAGAGTAATGTATTATCTAGCAATCCCAGAACTCTCTGCCACAGTGTCTCACAGCATATCCTAGAATTTCTAGGAAAAATACTGTGTCAAAATATTGAAGAAAAGAGGCAAATAATTCACCTAAATGTGCAAATATCCTGCGTTACCACACTATCAATCCAACCACTGTAGTTGCCTTGTGCTGTTTCATCTTCTTAAGAACATTCTGCAGACCACTGGACTTTCATCCTTCCCTTGTAGTTGCTTGCTTCCAGTCTTCCTACCCATGAACTCATGGGTCTGTAGCTGTCATAATTTCTCTCCATTTATGGACCAAGAGGAAAATTTAGGCTGTTTTATACACCTACACTGACCTCAACACACATCTGTGGTACTTTTTCTGTTTCTTGCAGGTTCTTGGTGTAGACAATGACTGTCCACAATTTATTGTCTCAGTCTTCTACAACTCAGAAAACCACTGAGAGTGCAGAGAAGATTGCTACAGAGGCACTGTTTTCCCTTATTATGTAAAAATGAAGGAATCTATCCAGTCACAGGAATATAGCATCCATAGTTCCCGAAACACCTGCATTTCCTAAAGCATTATTTCCTTCACTAGATCAATATGGCAGAAAAATCTGATTGTTGTCTGGTCCTGCAGACTAGCCAACTCTCACACAGAAAGTATTCTCTTAGTTGAAGCTGAGGAGTGCAAAACTTCAAACAAATCCAAAGCATCCCAAGACCACTAGGAAGCCTAGAAATAGAATGGGAAAAAACCCTCCCCTAAAGAGAGAGGATTTGAGAGCTATGATTTCTCTAGCTTAATTAGTCATTAAGATTTAAGTAACTTCATAATTTAAATCTTACTTGGAAACACCTAATTTTCTAAGCACTGGGTTTATTTGTCCAGAAATACTGAAACATTTCCATGTCTTTCACTCTTCCCAGTTCCTGAGAAACTAGGAAGCAAGTTTATGTTCTTAGAAAGTTCCTCTTGATGGTCTGATATCTCTCTGAAAGTGAGATGTCTTTTCATACTTGGCATGAAATGACTGTGAGACCTTATACTTTCCCTTCCCTCCTTTGAACTTTGGAGGAGAACGCAAGGAACTCACACACTTGTGAGGAGAACAGGAAGAGCTTCCAGCAGAGCTCTTTTTTTTCCTCTGACGTAAGTAGTGCTTGTGTTCTGAGACATCCTTCATGATCTGGACTAAGGATTCACCAAACAGCTTGCCCCCTGTGTATGGCAAGGACAGCAGTTTACATTTCAGATCTAGTGATGAGCTCCAAGGACGCAGCCAGAGAGCTCTCCAGGCTACAGTGAGGCATGCCACATTTTTAACAGTGAGTCTGAGAGAATCCTCAGCTGCATCGTGGATAAAATTAGCTGCAATTTTACACAGCCTGCGTTTTCTCTGCATGGCACCAGATGGGACACATTTCTTTTTGAATCTAGCTTGTTCTTCCTCTAACCATATTAGTAAAGCTTTAGAAGCATAAGTGCAGTAGATAGATACTCCAAGCTGGGCTGCAACTAGCTTGAAAGATCTTTTAATTGCTTCCTCAATCTTTCTGTCAGTAGGATCTTTAGGGAGAGCATCTGCATTATCAGGCACTGACAGTACAGAATTACCAGTAACCAATACTCTGTCTACCTCAGGCAAGGTTCCCCACAAAGCAGCTTTGTCTGCTGGAAAAGGATAGAGCTTACGTAGGACTGGTGGGGCTTCATGCTTGCCTTCGGGATTTCCCCAAATTCTGCAGACAAGATCTTCCACAGCTGAATGGATAGGAAGTGCATTATCTACCTTGCCTTCTTCAGAGGGGATAAGTAGTTCTTCAGAGGCACATTCAGATTTGGAAGATTTTAGCATTAGCACCCTCTTTATGTGTTCAAAAAGATAATTCTGATTCTCCATGTCAAATTTACGCAAAGGATCTGGTCCTTCTGGATCTTCTGTAGGGGACTCAGATGCCACCTCTCCATCTTCAGGGGCTGATTCAACCTCCAAGGCCTTGTCAGCCTCAGGTTTCTCCTTCCCAGAAGCTGTTTGATCTTGTAAGCTGTCCATATGATCAAACTCAGAAGTCTGGGAACTGCTCCCAGATGCTTCTAAAGGAACCAGCGGAACTTCTGTAATTGGTACCCTGGGATGCTTCACTGAATGGGACCTAGCCTGTGCCACAGATGCTATGCTTTGTCTGGCTGCTGTCAAAGCATCCTTTAAGACAGTGGCCAGCTCAGGCAAGATTACAGATTTCATTAGTGAATTCTTTTCAGATTCGGAGAAGTGAGTAGCAGTAGAAGGTCTTACCTTCCTGTGGCAGGAGCTCTGCGTGTCGTCTGAATCTGAGCTGCAGTCTGGGGTCTGGCTGCACCAGTGCTGGAGAGAAGAATGCTGCCTTGCCAGTAAGCCACCAATTGAGTTGCAGCTGAGGGGTTGCTGGAAAGGGGATGGCTGTCCTGCCTGAGAATCTGAGCCCTCCTCCAACCCCATAATGTGTTGCTCAGAAGCATGATGTCTAGAGCCATGCCTGTACTTCCATTTGTCTGACCTCTTTTCCTCTTGGCAGAGGGAAGCAGAGACAGAACTAACCCTTGTAAGCTCTGAAGACTGCCTAGCCCTCCTCCTGGTGTAGGAGGTCTCTGATCTGGTGCTGGAGTATTGATCCCCTGACCTTCTGAAGAAGTTGGATCTGTCAGATCTCACAGACTTTGCTTTGGTAAAGACAGGGTTTGCTTCAGGAGAATTGGCACAGCTACCTTTTGTTTTCTTTTCCTTGTCCAGTTTCTTTCCTGTCCAAGCAGACATGGACCTGAAGTGATGAAAAAAGTTCAAAATACTCGAATTCCTAGATCTTTCAAAAATTACATTTTTTTCCAAGGGAAACCCTATACCCTTTTTCCTCAAAGAAGCACCGCATCATGTGAGGCAGACAAACTGGGAACTGAGTGACTGCAGTGATGCTGGGCTGCAGAGAGGATGACAAGGTATCTTCTGTAATCTGACTGGTTGCTGCTCCTGCCCTGTCTCTAAGGAAAAAAGAGGAAAGCCCAATATAGACTAATTATACAGAAATACATTTTTAAAAGGAGGTTTTGCAGGGTACATAGAACTCTCCATTGAGTAAGTGTGAAAGCTTGGCATGCATCTGCCCATATTCACTAGACATGAGTGAATGAATGCATTATAAAATAATTTAATAAACCTCTAGATCATTCTTTAGATTAACTCAAGCCACTTAAACATGGAGACATAAATTAAAATCTTGCTACAGGTCACACATGAAAGCAGGCTTGAATACTTATTCCAGGCCTGAGAAAACATGCATTGAGATCACATAATTTGTACAATTCTGTACAAAGGTCAGTTTCTGCTGCTGGAAGTTCCAAGAATCAAGAACCAGTGGAGCAATAAAGGAGTATGCAAACTAGGCTTCGCAGGAAAACTTATACAGTACTTCTTAAACTCTCCTTCCAAAGATTGCTCCATACTTCCTTTTTTATCTGTTGAATTTAGGTAATTCATATGACCTTACAGCTGTAATAAAATACTATTCTGAACTCATTAACCTAAGAATGGAGTATATTGTTTTTAATCAGAGAAGAATAAACAGAAACTGCTCCTTAGCATTCAGAACTGTACATCTAGTCCTGTCAGATCAGGATGTACCTTTTCCTTCTATGAAGAAGCTATGGCAACAAAGTAGATCCTTCTTGAAAAAAATCTGCTTTTTCTATGTACATTTGTAAATGCCAAATCTTTGCAATAATAAAGAACTTCTACACTGCTTTTGACACAGGAATGCACCACAAAAACTATTTCATGCCCACGTAAAATATAATCATATTGACCTATTTAGAAAATAGTAACATTATTTTTTGTACTAATCAAAAAACAAATAAACTGCTTATTTAATAAGCCATACTCATAATTGTTGTATGAATAGTCTTGCCAAGGCATGCTTTTGGTAATGCCAGATTTGGCTAGTATAAAGAAGAGTGTCAGGAATAAGAGTTGTGTTGCATGCTTTGAAGCTGCTTGCTATAGATCTTGTACTGAAATACATGAAAGGGAGATTTGCTTTCTTTGTAGGACATTCCTTCACCTCTGTGTATAACATCACTTTGTTATTGGATTAGGTGTTAGAACTGGCAGCTACTTTAAACACATTTGTTTTCCAGTCAGCTTTCCAGATTGTCTTTGTTAGGCTTCAGTAAGAAATTTATTTTCAAAAACTGTAATGCTCAACATAGTGCCCCAACTAAAGGACACTGCATCTGGCATTTGAAATCTCTGAAAGATGGCTTTGTAAATAAAGATTCCACACTTTGACTTTCAAACACACACAATGGTGTTTGAATGTGGTTTTCACCTTGCATTAGCAAATGGCTTATACTAAGCTTGGATAATTTTTTTTTTTCTAATGGTGTGGTTTAAATGTTATTTTTAGTTCTAAATAACACAGGATACAAAATCTTTGACATGGAAAAAAAAGTTAGTCTTAAATTAATAAGTGTGATACTATATACAGTACAAGTGTGATATGAACAGTGAAAATGACAAACCACATCAGCTGCTCACCTGTATTCACCAAATGTTCCATCATCTTCCTTCATAGGTTGTATTTCTGGATCAGCATGTGCATCCTCCTTTTCCTTCACTAAAATATTTGAAATAGTAATTTTTATCATGAAACTGCAAGATGAGAAAATCTAAGACCTTAATTTCTCAAACTGATCACACTTGGCAGGAATGTCTTTTGAATAAAAACTATTTTTAAATGGGTCCGTAGGCTTTTTTTTTTCAGAGAAAAAAGATCTGCTAATTAGTGATAGGTTTTATTTCCATTCAACCATGACTGCAAGTCATTTTGTATTAGCAGAACTTTTTCTTTCTTTTATTTCTAGCAAAAAGAGAGAAAATTGTTAAAAATCCTACTAAAATGACTTATTTACTTAGATTATTAATAGAGTTATTGCCTAATCAAATTTGAATTATTTAGTTCTACTTAACAATGCTCTCTATTTCTTTTTGATATTCTTCTCATAATGATTGATAAAACTGAATCAGATTAACTTTTTTTCACTGTCAGTTTGAACATTTTCTGCTTTAACTTCATGTAGTAAGCCTCCAAACAATTTTAGATTTTTTTTCCATTATTAATAATTCTCAAAATGTTTCTTCTTTTCTACAATGTGATCAAACCCAACGCAAAGTCACATACACTGGAACCTAAATTTTACACAATTGTATTTCTTGCACATTCTGGTTTTAGGTTTAATCCTTGTTCACAGGTGGGAATAAATCTAGGCATATAACTTGTCCCTATAACATAATAAATGTAGCACATTGACACAGAAACCCACTAGCACCTGAGGAGTCAGATATTTACAGATGACATATATTCCTATGAGTTAAGATTGTGGACAGGATAAAACAATATACTGACTTTGAGAATTCTATTTATGGTTCTTCCCTTTGCCTTTTCATTTCTGTTTTTCTGGAATCTATTCAAATCTTTCCCTTGTCTAGCAGATACAGTTGTACAATCCAATACACAATCTCTTGTCTTTTACTCTGGTAATCTCCACACTTTATTTGTACATCACTGATTTATGTGCCATTATTTAAGAGGATATTAATTATTCTTGACAGTATTTACTAAGTCCATAATTGCAGTAACACATATGGCCTTGAGACATATCCAGCTGTTACAACTTCATACTGAAGTAATGAATTTCCTTCCACATACCACAGGCAACCTCAAGATGACATGCAAAAAATTATGATGAAAAAGAGTTCATAACTTAAATTTTCATAGATTTCATAACATACATTTCATAACTTCAATTTCTCACTACCTGTGGAACAGTACATTTGCAATGACCCAGGAAATACAAAGTCACTACCATAAACACTAGTACAAACTGATTCTAGTCCAGGTCCACCTTTATGTATGAGTCTGTATATACATAGGTATCTGTGCATGAAGAAATGTATACCTTGCAACTAATAATTCTGCAGAAGCAGCAAAAAGGACAGAATATCAAGGATCCACAAAGCAATGACAATCTGAGCATCCAACTGCCCTCTACACTTTTATGTAAAACTTCTGTTTTACTCTCCTCTAGATGGTGGCTCACTCTATGTCCTCCTTACTCTTTTCAGTTTCATCACTTCATTGTTTCAGTCACCTGAATCACTTTTTCTATATCCTCTGTTATGTCATTTTCTCTTTAAAAAAATCCAAATATTAGGAAAAAAACCCTAAGATGATGTCTTTGGCCTGTCATATTTCTCTGTGTACTACTATGTGTTCCTTAATCATCTGTTTTTTCATAGGCATAGGCAGCTGGAACAGAAACTTCTCTTACCTAATTTTTGCTGTCACTAGAAATCTTTGTTCTCTCTGTAAAACAATCTAACAGATTGGGCAGAATAGAATTCTTGTACTTAATAACGTGATTGTCTCATAAAAATAATCTGCTATTCTATTCCAGCAGATTTCCCTATGAAGAGCTGAACTTCTTAGTGGTCCCTGACACTATGTTTTTAGAAGTGCACTGATCAAAATAAGCAGAAGAAAATAAAATAAAGTGTGGATTTTATTTAATACTTTTCTAAATGCATCCATATTTTTCATGCCCAAATTAACAGTATGAACTTCAAGAAGTTTGAGTTAAATTTAAATAAGCATTCTAGAGTCTAGATATTTATTCTCAAACCTTAGGAGAAAATATTTTTTCATTAAATCAAGATTTTACATGAAACTTAGCAACTGTACTTTCTATTGCAGCTAGAATAGGAGAATGAAAAATCAAATTATCCTTGGATGCTCACTTGAAGTTCATTCATAGTCACTCATACCTCAACAGCTGCTCTGAGATCCTATCCAGCAGTACTGTGCAAGGTACAGTGGTTGTCACTGCCCTTTTCAAGAGAGCTTTGGTCTATGGAGCTACTCCATAGAAAGAAATATAATACTAGGGAAAGATATATATATGATACCTGTATGTCCACATACATACATACATACACATACATGCCTTCTGTAAAGTACACCAGGAGGGATGAGTGTTTTGATACAAGACATACATTGTCTGGCTCCAATTTTTAATGAATAATTATAAAACATACTTGGCCATTCCTAGACATAGTAGAAAAAGCCATTTATTTTACACCTCCTCTTAGAAAGAAAAAAATATAGAAAAAACCCCCAGCCTAACTGAAGGATGGTAACTTTAAACTTAGCTGAAAAACTGCAGAGGCTGAAGATGACACAGATTCTGGGAGGGAACTCAAGGTATTGGAAACAATATAACATATGAAGAGATTTGTCCTATGGCATGCATTCCCCATACTTTAAAGTAACCAGTAGCTATGATTTGGACTTTCTGACCAAATAAATTCTAACTCAACTCATGTTATTGGACTAAACTCCTCTGCATTGGACTTCAGAAAGTGGAATGTGCACTAGTGGTGACGTTCCAAACAAAGCTCAACCTCTCTAGAGAGGTCATGCACTGATAGGACCCTCTGGGAATGAAGAAGGTCCTTATCCTATGCTGAAATAGATGTAGGTTTCCTACCAAAAGGCAGATGGCTCCTGCCAAGCCCACCAAATGATCAGACTGATTTGCCATATACACAGCGTAAATGTAAACCAGCAGCAAATGTAATTTTCCAGTAAGCCTGAGATCTTAGTGGGTTACCAACAGATGAATTTTACTACCCTGGTTAAATAGCTTACCTGGATACTTGCCACCCTTATTCCTCCTTATGAAGCAAACAATGAGTAAAATCAAGATCAGAAGAGCAACAGCACACATTAGACCAATGAACCATCCTTGAGTAGCGATGTCTACCTGCCGGCTTGCCATTGCTACAGATAAAAGAAGAAAAATTATGTTTTGCTGCATTTAAATGCTATGCTAATTCAGATAAATAATAGACAATATAATGTTCATCAAATAATAACATTCACTGTGAAAAATAGATAGCATTAAGAAAAACAGCAATTCTGTATTTTGTATTTCCATTATTCAGAATATTTCCAAGTACCTACGCATAGAAGTTAGTTTTCAGTATATAAAAAGTCTCCTAACATTTAAGCTTAGCAACTACTTTGCAAAATCTACACACATACTACATTACTTTCTACAAACCTCAAAACTATTCTCAACCATTTTGAATTAATTAAACTCCTGATATAAAATTGCAAATTGTAGTTCACACAAATATGTCGATTGCATTCTCAAGATGAATAAAAAGCCAATACTGGTAAGCTAATGTATTTTCATCATTCTGAAATGGGGAAACAGATGGATCATTCAAGGAACCTAGCATTAAATTTCAACTAAAAATCAACAATAAAGCATCCTTTAAAACTTTATTAAGCATCAGGTTTTCTTTCTTTCCTCAAACCCATACCTCATCCTACAATTAATTTATCATGATTACCATGATTTAGCATTAGTGAGGTGGGAAGCCTTCCCTTGGCACTATTTCTCTCCAAATGCTAACTCTAGCTGGAAGATAATGTAAATAATAAGCAAACTACAAAGAAAACACTACAGGCACTAATAAGAACAGGAATTAACTATGTGTTCTAGAGTCTGGATCTACTGGTCTCCAACACAGTAGGAGGATTATTCTGGTGAAGCTTATTTTCTCCTCTATTGCTGGAAATACACTACAGGCAACTTGATTTAGGATTAGCTGCTGGGAGAAGGTGGAAGAGTGAGAGGAGTTAGGGATACATGCTCCAAACAAAAAAAATATGAAGTGGTGGAAGATGAACATCTATCCAAACCTGTTTTATTCATTCTTCAACTTCTTCTCCAGACCCAAAACCCAAGCATGAATCTCTGTGAAGAGCTGCTCAACTGACAGAATTCAAGCCAATGTCTCAGTGTCATTTTCTAGTTAAGGAGTGTGAGACAGGTATCTTAGAAAAGCAGCAATGGTCTCACATTCCTGACAGATTCCATGGAAACACAAAGTTCTTCTGATGTACAGTATCTCCAGTCCACTCCATACAGAAGACCAGTGTGTATTCCACTTTAGAAGTACTTTTTCTTTAAATGCTTATATTTGGTCTCACTGGACTATGACTTGATTTTCATCTAAATAATTCAGTGAGTTAATGTGCTCAGTTATTTTGGAGATACACTCAGAAGATTTCTCAGTCCTTTTTTATATTTTCTGATATTTTAGAAAGTGACTCTCATATGCACAAGAATTTAAACTATTTTTGCATCAAAGGCTCTACATCTCATATATACTTTATATACGTAAATATTTCTACTCTTTATGCCACATATAAATATATGTAAATACATATACATAAAATATTAAAAAGTGGCAATTAAAAAAAGTCACAAAAGGAATCTTCCTCTGAACTACATGTGAAAATAAAAGAAAATTTTGTTTTCATCTTAAGGGTAAAATTATTTTGAGTTTTGTGCATCTGCATTCATAATAGGACATTAGATGTTGTATAATACATACTGTAACAAAATGCAAAAGCACAATTCACATTCAAATGTAGTAAGAAACAGAATCAAGCCAAAAACTCATGCATAAAAATATGCAAGGTAGATGGGAAGATGAAAACTTACTTATGCAGCTTCCTGTATTAACTTACTGCATTTCCAGTAGGAAAGGGTTTCTAGATCTCTGTCCATCTTTAAAAATGGCACATTTCCTGCCTATGCTAAGCAAATTATTTGCTTCAGGCAGAACAATCTTGCATCTTGGTGAACCACTGATGCAGGAGTCAATGCAGAACACTCTACCACGAATGCCCAACAGGATAAACCTGCACACTATGAAGATGCTCTATAGGAATGCTTGTCAAAGAAAAAATGTGGGAAAAGCCTCATATTTGAAATATCAAAGTTTCATTCCTAATAAGGACATACTCCAGTGTTTTCCTCTCTGTCCACTCCATCTTTTTGCAGTGTTTAAAAAAGGACCAAGACTGAAGACAGTGTGACAGAAGATTTTTCTGTAAGACATAGGCTGTTTACAATTTCATGCTGAACATTGAAACTTGCCACTAGAAAGGAGAATGGAGTGTCTAAAGTCCCTTCTTCCTTAACTACACAGGGGCATGAGTTAACATGACTGGGTAAGTACAGGAATCCTTATCTACTGGCTCAGTACTTTTTATGCAGGGAGATGCTTTTGGGAAGGTTTCCATGCAACTTGTTTTGAATTATATTACAATCTTGGTCCTTTTTTTCTGCTCCTTTAGGCTTCAGATGCATAGCATTTCACAGGTAGGCTTTTGTACCACTAGCTGTTCCTGGCTCTGTATTCAGCCTGTACATATTTGCCTGGCACTGTTATTCAGCACTATGTTTTCAAACCTTCCTGCAACATGATAAACTGTGAACAGAAACTGAACGATCAAAGGAAAAAATGATGATTTTAGAAAGTGCTCACTTTCAAACTGGCATACCCATTATCTATATTGTTGCCTGATAAATATAACATAATGTTCAAGGGTACTTTCGTATTTTAAATACTTTCTTATAACATAACATTCTGGAGTTGGTGGGGCTACTGCTGTATAACTATGCACTGGCTAAAATGCTTAGAATGAGCAGAAGTGGCTGGCAAAGACAAAAAAAATAACAGCTGACCAAGAACATGATGATGGCATGGCATGTGATGGCAATACAATATTCAGCACAACATCAAAGAACCTTCCAATAGACCCTTTTTCCTGAGAGCAACTGGCAGGCATTGCTGATTTGCTTACAGAGAAATAGGACTGCAGTATGAACATAAGAAACTTAAACAGCCTTACTGATTCCCAGGATATATGTGTGACATCAAAATCCATATTAAACTAGTATATGGCAGGAAAAGAGAGATTTACAAGTAGGAATGTCTTAACACTGGTATAAATAGATTACATGAGACATCAAACTGAATCTGCATTTTCTGATTATGCAAATATTTTAGCCCTATAAAAAGCAGCATTATTTAAATACAGCCCTGTAATTATACTAATTGGAAATATTAGAAATAGGTCATCTTCAGTGCACAGCACGCAGATGGAGTAAGGGCAGGGCATATATTGCCCCTAGTACAAACATGAGTCAAGTAGAGTGATTTGAAAGGATTGTAACATTCATAATTCAAACATAAATAAACTGGCATCATTTAGGTGTTTATAAAATAATTTAACATTGCTCTATGAAAGGAACATGCAAAGATTCTAGCTGCAGCATCTCTTGCTAGAAGCATTTCAGCATTGGTCTAACACGGTTCTGGCTAGGATACAGAAATGTACTACGGTACAGTGTGCCTCACCTGGACCTGTCTCAAACACATCCTCTGAACTCCTAAAACCAGACAGGCCCTCAGCACCAACCCGGACTTTATATGCTGTTCCTGGTGTTAAACCCTTTAAGACAAAGAAGCTTCGAGAACCATTTACAATTTCTTTTTTCCAATCTTCTTTGCCTATAAAAATTTTAGGAAAACAACAAATCGGTATTTTAATTTTATCTGTATTACTGAAAGTTTCTAGACAAAATACTACTGACAGTTACTTGACTAATCTATGGATCATCTGAGAAAAATAGCTGTTGTCTCAAAAATAATTATATAAAATTATGAGTAATAAATTGCATGCAACATATTAAAGAATTCGTTGTACAGTAATTATGAAACTATTTTAAACATTTGTTCCATTGTACTAAAGAAATAAAAATTTAATTTATTTTTAAAATGCTTATTGAACCTGTAATTATGAGAGACATTAAAACAGATTTTAGACATTTTTTTAAATGACACTTGCAGTTTCAGTCCATATTTATTTTGGTCAAGAAGTTCTACTTCAAAATCTGAATCTCTCTTGTATCTTTTTTCTAGGACAGTCTCAGCTATTTCTTGGCCAATATCCAGAAAAATGCATTTCTATTCCAATTTTCAGATTAGTCACCTTTTGACATAACTTTAGAAGGATGAGGTATTTGAAAAGGAGTATCTTGCTTTTATTAGCTAACTTTGTTCTAATTATTACCAAAGTTTATCAAAGTTTTAAACCTGGTTTTAGGCAATAAGGGCACATAAACTGTTTCATATCTTATTTTAAGGTTTAATTTAATAAAGGATATCTTATTTAATCTTTTTTTTTCCCTGAATTAGGCATAATTTAGGAAAATCCTTGTATCCTACTTTAATGCAAGTAATCGTATTTTAACACATGTAATCGCTTCATGATAAACAACTTCATGCAAACTACGTTTTTAGAAGTTTGCGTTCAAAAGAATTTATAAAATAATACAAAGGAACAAAGGTTCACGTTTATCTATTCATCAAAAACATGCTAAGCATTGATGTTTATTAAAATGAAAATTATTTGATCTTCCCGATCAAATTATAAAATAATTTAAGACATTTAAGAGCTATCATTAACACTGGGTCAATTTAAGACCCCATTTACTATAAAAATCCAAAATACATCTCAACACTTTATCAGAATTTAATGAAATGACTTCTTACTGCCTGCTACACCATATTCAACATAAAAGTTCGCATGATCTGGTCCCTCATACTCCCAACTGATATTGGCATAGGTCTCAGCAGCAGCTGTTGTAACATTTCTGATCCTTGGATAAAGTGGTTGAACTAAATACACAATAGAAAAACAAAGCAGAATATGCAGTTGTGACTTCATACATTTTAAAAAAGTATTAAAAGAAGTTACTATGTTAATTTAGACCATATAGAGGGAAAGTATAGCACATTTTTCATTGGTTCCATTACTGGAAATTAGTAACTAAAGTACTGTATTTTGAAATTTAATCCCAGGCAGTTACTACACTAAGAAATTAGAAAGTAAAATCTATGTACTTTACTGAGCATGCTCTGTACCATAAAAACTGCCAAATACTTAAAAAGTACCTAACTGCCAAAATTCTGAAAAACATTATTTCTATCCATCTGGAAGTAAAATGCAGACAGCTGGAAAAAGATGAGAACACTGTCAGGGTAATGGGAAATGGTAGGACAGAAGGGAGGCATGAAGGTGGTAAGCTCCTCCCTTTATGGCATGTGGCAGTGAATGGACTGCAAATGCCCCAAGTGCAAGCCCTGAAAGGATTTTGGCTCTATTGCATGGATAGCGATAAAAAAGGAAGACAATACCCTTATAGAATGTTGGACGGACAGTATGCATGACTGGGGAAGTTGCAAAAAGGATTTCTGAATATCCTTCACCATCAGAGATAGTAGGAAAGAAAAAATAAAGAGTAAAAACATTTTGCATCAAAAAGTAGCAGTTAACTAATACAGTAAAACCTTACCTGTTAAATAAATAACACATGCACATTCTAAGATCATGCAGGTTTCAAATAGTTTTACTTGTTAAAAGATGAAACAGCTAAGTGATACACATGTATTTGAAAACAAACTGAAGTATGTATGTACTGGCAGCTTTGCTTTCACAGGACATTCCTGAAATCAGCTTTTGTTAATACTATGCATTCATGGCACCTTTAGACACCAGAAAACTAGATATCAGATATTGGAAAGCCAATATCAGAGTAGTCTGGAGTGAAGGACACGAAGGACTGGGATGCAAGGAGCTGCCCATTGTAAGGTGCTGCGTCTCCCCGCTGCCATTCCAGTCAGACAACAGCACTTCTCACAGACATGCAGAATGCCCACATCTGTGAGAAGAAGAGCTTCTCTCTTCAGCATTCTGAAATTAGCCACTTCTCTGCTCATATCTTCGTTCTTTGCCACTTTTCTCCTCATACTTTCACTCTTTGCAACAAGCTAGTAATGCTTGCTACAAATGAACATATAGACCAGTGTCTCTGCTTGCCTAAGACTAATGAAAAAATAGATTTTAATAGTTCTAATGCTGTAATAGGGCAGATACAAAGAGGATGCTCCTTAGAGGCATGAAATTAGCTTTAACTGAAAATGCTTCACTTTGACACTAACTGTTCTATCCTGCTAAAAATAGCTTTTCTATTAGGAGCATTAAAAATGCTTCCTAAAGGACCATGCAACATCAGAGCTAAAAATCTAGTCTCAGTTAAGACAAATGACAGAATTCCAATGGCTTCATCTACACAAGAAAATAAAATGAGCAAAAGCCTGTTATCAAGGCAAAAGAGACTACACAGAATTTATCTATCCACTTAAATTACTTTCTTCTTCCAACAGGCTGGCTTTGTCCATATGGCCATCTGGAAAAAGTTCAGTTATATGCACAGACAAAATGGCTTACTTCGGCCCCTAGATGAAATAATATGTATACCATGTCTAGAAAACTGTAGCTTTTGAGTATTTTTTAAAATACCTAAATTAGGCAAATTCCATTGGTTCTTCTGATAATGTATTCTGATTATTACAATGTTTTACAAAATATTTTTTTTTATCACCAAACAAAATAATAAGGAATATATTATTTAAATAATAAAGAATAGATTAATTTCTTGCTAAAACCACCTGAACACAATAATTGAAAAAGCACTAGATTAAAAAAAAAAAAAAAGAAGAGCCATTTAGGTCTCTAAGTCACAACAACCACCCTAAGAAATACCAAAGCCAGAGCTGTCTATGGGAAATCTAGCATGTAACAATATACACTATGGTAATGCAAGGGGATTAGGTTCTGTTTCTCTGTGCCACTTGTAGAGGTAGCAAGAGGAAAGAAAAGCAGTCTCTAAATTTAGGAGGGTGCAGAGTCTGAGATTGCAGACAGGATGTATAAACTTCCTCCTGATTTAGACATAGGAACAGGTGTTTATTTCAATAACAATCTCAGCGTTTGTGCTGTGCCAAGAAAACAAATGGCTTGTATTTGAAATATGACTTTGTTTTGTTTCATTGAATTGTATTTTCTCAAGGCCATATTCTCCTGGATTTTGGTCTTCCATGGAAGATGTCTAATTAGCAACCCAACCGTACAACTGATATTTGCCACAATATTAAGGACAGAAAAAACTGTTAGCAATAATCTGTTCTGTTCTCCTGCAAACAGATGCCACAGCATTACCCCTAACTTCTCCCTTCTCATGCCCGAGCACTTGGGGATGAAGGAAACTGTCTCACCTTCTGTGAAAGACTCCAGATAATGGAGAGTTTCTAAATTACAAAGCAAATTCAATAATCGCTCCATTTTATCTTGTGGGGTATTTTTCCATCTCCAATTTCCAGTTTCTGCTCTCATTAAAGAGTTGCCTGCTAGATTAAAGTATCTGGTAAAAGTCTTTCTGTTCATATGATTGATCATGTGTTCATATGATCAATCAAGTTTGCTCCGAAAGTTACCATAATTTCCTTGCCATCTTACTTCTAAATTCTCTCAAAGTCACTAATTTATGCTTATATTTATCGAATGTACTCATATCTGATTCTTACCAATAGCTATATGAACATATAGCTATATTTACCCACATGTAGTATTTGGTCAGATTGAAATTCTGTGGGGTTTAACTATTGAATAAGGTGCACCAGGAAATTTGTTCAGTTGTGTGCTTCTTTGCAACGTTATTATTTTTGCAATTCTTTTGCATTATTGCTTGATCTCATTTGCCATCAGGCCTGACAAGTTTTACTTAAGTCTGTTAAATGTGCCATATTTGCAACATGACTACACACAGAAGAACATAAAAGAAGGCTGATGGATCCTGAGGTGATGAAAACCTGGAGGTGAATTGCGTACGACATTTAAAGCTTGTAGTCAATCCACCCAGACTCTTTTGTCTTCTCAATCACCACACCTCTAATTATAATTAACCTCTCAGTTCTTCAATATGTTTCCCAGCACTGTTCACAAATGGCACATGTGTAATTGTCAGCTGGTAGAAGCTCCCAGCATGTGCAAGTGCCAGTTGGGAAAAAGGGGGGGAGAGGGGCGGGCAAGAAACTGTCCTGGAGAGCAGAGCACTGTGCTCTCTCATCTGTAACCATGCCCCACACTGTGCAGCAGTGCTGGCAAAAGCATCACTCTGAAAAACATGGGAATGGACTGCCAGTAAGTTACAGGTTTTATACAGACCCACTCTTATTCATCTACCTTAATTAAGCTATTTCATTCCTGCCTTGATACCGTGCAACATTCAGCTGGCATTTCCAAGTATGGTTTCATTCATGTAGTAAAAAATATAAAAGCACCATATAAAAGCATTTGCCAATTGTTGAGAAAGAGGCCCAGGCTTGAAGCTAAATTTTCTTCTATTTTCAAATTAATTCCAGTGCTTTTTTACTATAGTTGTTTGGTAGAGTTTTATTTAATTTTTCAGCATTTCAGGAACACAGTTCCTACAAATAACAGTTATAGCCAGGCTGCAGAATCAATAGGACTTAATAAGACAGGACTTGAGACTGGAAGGTATTTTAACAATGAAATGGTACTCTTTCTCAAGATTTTGTCCAGAAGAACAATACATCAAATAATCCCCAAAGTGACTAAAGTTTAGGAATTTCTTGGAATTCACCTGATATTCAGGAAAAAATGTTGGGTGAGTGCAAAGCACAAATTTGAAGACTAGTGTCAAATGGGGAAAAAAAAGCCACAAAGCAATATATTATAGACAATTAAGTTAAAATGCATATATTAAGAGAAAAGTTTATTTAAAGGAAAAAACCCACACCCACACAAGAAAAAAATGAAGGACAAAGGTAATAGATTCTGCCAGAGCCTGTCAGACACAGGAAAGTGGTTTATTTTCCTCTGCCTTTTTAACATTTGTAGTATGAAATTCAAGCTTTAGTATAACAGTAGGAGTGAATTCCATTTCTAGCAGTGAGAAATGGGCATCAGTCACTTCCGGGATTATTTAGATCAATTGCAAGAGCATTTCTATAGTGTAAGAAATACAGAAGCCAAAGAAGAAATGCAAAAAATTATGTCACTGATGAGCATGTAGAATGACATCTACAAAGCTAAAGGCATTTCCAGGAATTTTTGCACAGTGATAATAATCATTTTCTCTAGTCTAGCATGCAAAGCATCAGCATTGTTCCCAGTGAACTTAAAAGAGGACAAAAAAGTGGTTCTGCATAGCAGGCTGTACTGAAAGAATCACACAAATACATAATGGAGAAGTCCACAGGGGGAGAGTGGCTGAAGGAGCAATACAAAAATACTACACTTCACTTGACTGTAAAAGCAGCTTGAAATTGTTAGCAAAAGACATGGAATATTATGTGAAATTATTCAAGAGAGAGGGAAAACAGATGGTGGGCAGAGAAAATTATTTAAAGAACTGCATTTTGTACAGAACAAAGAAAACTGAGATGATCTTCTACAAAGAGATCAGAGATACAAATTCAGTTGAGACTGATTTCCAGCCCACAGTGAGGAGTTACATGCTGGTGATTCATTCAAAAACCCCAAAAGAATAGCTTCAAACCCAGAGGACAGACTACTTACTTATCCCCTGTGTAACAAAAGGGAGTAGTATTTGTCACTGGTACGTGAGATATGGAGTTCAGTAGAAGAAGGCAGACCAGACTGAGTACCAGTGACAGGAGGCACTAGCTACGATTAAAGGTTACTGTGATCTCACAAACTTATTTTGATTCCATTTCAAGACTACCAGTTACCAGTGTTGGCATGCATGCAGATTAGAAGTCCTTGCTTTCAAGTGTAAATGTTGACTAAATCAAAGAGAAAGTAAAAAGTGAAATGAGAAGGCTTGTGGAATGAGGCTGACATGCCATGCCATGACTCCTTATACTTCAGCTTACAAAAACCATGCATCCCTATGACTCTACTTTAACCAGCAACTTTCATTTCTGCCACTGGTCAAATTGGAATTCTCTTCCTTCCTCTATAGGGCAGGTATTTGAAACTTCTTATGGAAAAAGACTTGACTCCTGTGATCACCTGAGTCACCTTGCAGGTGCTACTATAATTATTTTATTTGTAATTGGGTTATTCCCCCATTTTTCTCACACCTGTGTTACCTCATGCCTGTGGTTAGCTGCCAATATATAAATGGCAATACCAGGGCATGCTTAGTATCTAACATTAGGTATAATAAATTCTGTTTTACATATGAAGTTTTCAGACACATTTAGAATATAGCTTGCTAAGAAAAATCCTTTCTTTTTTCTTTGTAGTACCATCAATTTGATCAATTTTAAGTAATTCATAACATCACAGTATTAGAAAGGAAAAATGACAGTGCAAGTCAAATAGGATTATCAACTGTAATATGATAGCTTTTTCATCTAGTAAATAACATCTAATGACTTACTAGTGTAGGCTTGGGACACTAAAAATATTGACTCTATTATAAAGATCCTTAGATTTACCACAGCAATATATCATTCTGCACTTTATAGTTTTACTGTAAGAAATGAAATATGTCCCAAGTGGCACAGCTCACTAAGGTTTAAATTATTTTAATTCCTCCAGGACCATGTGTCTAATGTATATGGCTGGCCAAGCTGCAGGTCTTCACAGGCAGCTATCCAGTAGAAAACACCAAATGCAGAAATTTCAGTTCAGCAGTTTAGGCCAGCTGAATCTGGGAATTACTGTCTACTTAAATTCCAGGATCAGTGTGCTCAAATCAAAAGAAAAAAGAATAATTACATTTTCCTGGTAGGTTCTGCCCTTCAAAATTAAAAACCCAGTATGTTTTTGACAGACTAAATTTGTTCTGGCTTTGGGTCCAAATTAATAAGAACTGTATAGACACGTAGGCTCTCCTGCACTTAATAGAAAAAGCAAAGTTCACTGCTGGGTACAGCTACTTTTTGAGTGGGCTGAGCACTTCTATCTTCCAAATCCACCCACTCATGAGACAAACTAACTTGGTGCTTGATCTTGATAATATGATCCTCCTTTTCCTTACTCGTGGTCCCTGACCAGTGGCAAAGCAGTTAACATGCTATTGTAGTAACCACTGAGAACATTCATCTCAGACCTGCAGCAACTCAGATGTCCTAACAGATGTCATGGCTTTAGTTCTGGGCTGTTTGCAGGTCCAAAGTCTTCTTTGTAACTGCAAGAGCTACATGCTACAGGAATATGTGAAAACTTTGAAACCATAAACAACATGGAACCAAACAAAGACATCTGCTTAGTTTTCAGAGAATTTGAGATGACAGCTCTGAAATGTGAGCTGCTCCAGCTAATCTTACAAATAAGATGCTTTCTGATAGCCACATACAGCTATAATTAGACCCCAGTTTCACACAGAGAATCCATTTTTCCTTGCATGAGTTTTTAGAGTCAGCTATAAATAATGAAAGCTTAATTTACATTTCTGCTGTGCATGTCCAGGACTAAAGCCAGTTTGATTGTTCCAGTCTGTGCTGACTTTTCAGCAACGACTAGAGTAAAATAGTAAAAAAGACTTGCCATCAAAATAATTCCACAACTTCACACACTTGCCAGAAACACATCTGATATCAGAATACACTTATATCTATACATATAAAAACATATATATATATGCCCAAATGCAGGCATACATATATTTATATATTGTCTGATTTATACCAGACTGGGTGAATGAATTTCTTTCTTATGGCTATCATTCACAACACCTGATAATCAAGTGAAAAGAAACTATATGTAAAATAATTTATGCTGTCTCTTCTAAGTTTATTAAAAATGTTGGGTACTTCATGTACAGATTTTGACTTGTGATGTTTATGGTCTGAGAATCTGAGGCACAGGTGCTCATTAGTGTTAATGACACCTGTTATTCAATGACACCTCTGTACAGAGAGATATTCCTGAGTTTGAACTACCTCAGGACAACCTTTGCTTCTGACAATGAAAGTATCAAAATTCATTAAAACTGTATGCAAAACTGCATCATAAACAACTAAATATTACCAAAATTAATGAATAAGAATGATACTAGCTTATACTCACTGAAATATCCTCAAGTACTCACTCACAAGATCTGTGAACCTAAAACAGCCGGAAGACATTTGCCTGTCTATTCAATCTGATACTCAAACTGAGAAGCAGACAGAGGGTATTGTCAGTCATCTGTCTCCTATGCACAGTTGGCTTGCAAATGAAGTAAATGTGTTCAAGTGGGAAGCAGTAATCCACAGTGAGAACAAGATTGCAGATAGTTTTTTAAAACAAAAAAATGCACATGGCCCAAGCAGTAAATGAATCTCCTCCACAAAAGTGATGTTTTTTCTACTCCAGCTAATCAGTGCTAGTGCACCTGGATCCTGAATATTTATGACAGTGATATATAGCTGTTAAATGTTCAGAAATAATTAGACTTTGCTAAAGCAAAGCTAATGAATTCCCCTGAAACTCTGTGGCAAAATAAACAGATGAAAGGTATTAATAAGCATTCTGGATTCCTTAAAAAAAATCCCAACAAACCCAAACAAAAAACCTCCACACTGTTTTCTTCCAGCCCTGATTATACTTTGTACAGAAATGTGTAGTCCAAGATTTTCTGTCCTTACCACTGCAATTTCCCCATTTGCAACACTGCAAAATCCACACATTAATAAATCATGCAGTTTCATTTTACCTTTGCCTGCATCTACAGCAGGATGGAGAATACCAGCTTTAGTGGAGGAAAACAAGAATAGGAACACTACATAATTAGATACAACACCAAAGGAAACAAACACATATAATTTCACTATACAAAGCATGCAGACTAGATAAAATGTATTAATTCAAATAAATTAGAAACAATCCATCTATGCTGAACCCTGACAGACTACAAGACAAAATGACTGTACATGCATTTACAAAATTTTTTTGGTCATGCTTGTTAGAGTGCAAGATTTAAAATAAATATGGTTCATATGCAAACTTAATACCCTGACAGAGAAATTGCATTGAATAGCAACTCATCTATGGCATTTCCAATAAACCATAATTTTAATGAGCATAAAAAGATGTAAAAACATGGTACCAAAATACACTTATTAATATTAAGATGATCAAAATGATAAAAAAGTTCCAAATTTCCTGTTGGCTTTCAATTATTCTTATTTTGTTAAGCATCAATATGTAATTTACAAACAACTTTAACAAAGGTCTAGAATGGCTACAAATATAAAAATCAATTGTGACAGGATTTGACTATACACTTGGTAGTTTTTAAATACTATACAGTTACTTGAGGCCATAGATGACAAATGTATTTCAACAGTTTCACAGTTTTTTGCCAGTTCTGTGAAAGCAATTTAGATTTTTTTGCATACTAAAAAAAAGTAAATAACTTCCTCTAATCACAAACCTGCATTATTCCAGCACTTTTCTCTGTAACCAAAGCTGGTCAACGATGCAAAATAGGTGAATAGACAATAACCACTAAAAATGTAAAGTTACATGAAACTTGAAGCACAGAAAGGCCAATGTCTGTCTTAGAAGTTGTGAGTTGATACTAAAAGAAGAGGCTTTATACCTTCTTGGGGGTTCCCACTACAGCAGAAGGCCTTTACATGTATTTTCTTTAAAAATATTTAAAATACTTTATTAGTATATGACACATTTAAGAAAGCTCTAGGAAAAAAATAAAATCACTTGGCCCTATTTCCTTAGTGGAAGGAAGCAATAGAAATATTTAGATACAGATGTTTAATATAATCTGAAGTGGTTTTTAAACTCAAAGGAATTTCCACATACATATATATCTTACCTTCATCCATAATTGTTACTGCTTCCTCAGTTATCTGACTTCCTGATCCAACTGAAGTCTGTGCGTTAAAGTAAAACTTGTACCGGGTGCTGTAATTTAAATTTTTTAATATCAAGCTGCTCTCATTGGCAGGAATTCTTATCTCTACCAAGGGACCCAATTCATGTGTGTTGTTGACTGTTGTTACAAAAAAAAAAGAAAAACAAAAAAATTAGGAAACTTGTATACACTGTCATTGTATCTTAAAAGGTTTTTGGTTTGTATGTATTTTTTTTTGCTTGTCTCTGCATCTACACTTTCAAAAGAAAGTCATCTTTGTATAAAGGTGCCAAAATCCAACTGGGAGATAGGAAACACCAGCAGGTTTTTTAAGATCAGGTTTCATTCTCATAAATCTCTGAATCCAAGGCAAATGAGCTCAGTTCAAATCACCTGAATTTATGCAGCACTGAAGCCCTCCCTGACCATTGAAAAATTCTGAAACTCTAAGCTCAGTATGCTTAGGAAAAGAAAACATTGAAGCTCTTTGTGTCTAATGCCAAAGAACAGTGGGACTTGGTAAGTGGAAGAAAGTAAATTTCCTTTATCTGTTCCATGCATATGAAACTCTTTCCTTACCAATGTCACTGCTGAGAAATTTCTGGGGTAAGTGAACAGCTGGGATATAAAAGAAGTGATTAAATAGCTCTGAGATGAGTAAATGGCACATTTATGAATTTTTATTTTTAAGATTATTATACCATGAAAATTGAAAAAGCAGACAACAATATAATTTGGCATACTTTGGTTTACTTCTAATGACATTTTCTCTGCAGTTAGAATACAGAATTTTTAAGTAGTAGTATCTTGCATCTGACTCGGATGCCACTTATGTGTAGGATCTCACCTTCATTTGTCTGTGAATTACAGTTTGAAGTAATGAAAGTAATAAAAATGTTAACCTTGTACTACCTCAAGAAAAGGTTTCCTAGTACAGTCATCAATATTATCAAAATGTATTAGTCTTTTTCAAACTTGACATTTGCAATGCAATCATATCTTTTGTACATTATAAATTTAACATAATATTTTCTTCATAAATGGATTATCATTTGGTAGATACATTGCCTAAGTTAGAGTTGTATTGCAGAATCAAATAATGATTTGGGTTGGAAAGGACTTGAAAGATCAGAAGTCCAACCCCCAAAATATAATAATATTTAACTTACTTGGCTGAAACTTCAGTGTATATGATGTCAAAACACCATTTGGATGGGTGGGTGAACCCCACTCCAGAGTCAAAGAGTCCAATGTTGGGTTAGTAATCTTCAGAAAGGAAGGTGAACTAGGAACTTTTAAAAAGAACATAGAGTAAATACAAAGTAGATTAACTTAAAACAGGTCATTAATTATGAATTCTTAAGAATATTACTGTATTGAGAAAGATTATTATTTTATGAAGTCCAAGTAAACCCCATTTAAGTTTAATATCTAGGGTTTTCATTTCATACCTCCTTCAGGGGTCTTAAATATTTTGTCTGGGCTTGCTGGTCCTTCTCCTTTACCATTAACAACTCTAACATTCAGCTTGTAGGAACTATAGGGCTCTAGCCCTGGTAACATTCCAAAAGTCTTGTTTCCCCTGAAAGTCAAGATCTTTTTTTCTATATGTCGTCTACTCCTTCTGGATAGACTCTGCACTTTCCAGTAGTAAACCTAAAGACAAAAAAAAGAAAAAAATTTACAGTGACTGCTTAGCTTCTCTGATTTTCTAAACTCTGAGCTTTTCCATAAGTGTCCATGAATTATAGGTAGAAATAACTTCAATTTTAATAAACTCGGATTAGACACAGCATAGAGCTTTCCTGCTCCAGAAACAGACCTTGTCCAGAAACAGTCTACACAACTGGGTACACACTACCACCTGTCAGTCCTGCCAATGCTCAAAACCAGTTTTCTACAAGTTCTGGCTGGGAACTACTTTGGTCTGTGATCATTCTCCTGCTATCCAGTCTATCTGAGAGGCAGAAGTTATCCATTCTTTCAGTAAGACATCTACAGGCCTTTCCAAGCAGATTTGGACTTTGGCTCCTTGTTAGATCACATCCCTGACCATGCTATTCCTTGATGTCAGATTACCTATCAATGGGGAAGAAATCAAAAGTTTTGACTTGGCTGGAAAAACACACAAGTTCTGACATTACTCTAAGGTTACAGTACTGGAATGATCTCCACCCAGGGATGGGAACACTGTCCCTCCAATTATGTGGCAATTTGATCACATGAGAAAGCTGATTCTGGTGTCCATTGAGCTGACTGAGTTTCTAAGAAACCACATATGAGCCTTAGAGGTGCTTTCCCTGCACCCTCTTTACTACACAGTCTCTCTACCATGGTAACTTGAAAGATATTAATAGCTGCCCCTCCAAAAGACTTGTGTTACTCCTGAGACTGTCAGCCTCAAATACATAATTGTTTATTTTTCACAGCATCATTATCATGTGAATATGATCACAAGCTAAAGATCATTAAGAAATCTAAATGAATAAAAAATCTATTCCTATTCAGGCCAACTGCAAAACACCACTTAAATTTAGGAAGCTGGGATTTCACATAGGAGTTTTAAAAAAAAGGGGCTGTTAAGACTTGCAAGGCCCAGCTAGAAAGCTATAAAGCAATGTTGCACTTACATCAGCTTTCAACATACCATTTCACTCCAATCACTTTTAAATGCCACTATGTTTTACATGGTTTGAGTTAATGTTTTTCAATATCACCAGCTGTCATCCTATAGCTCTCATCCCATCAGCTAGTGTAGAAAATTATTTACAAGCTAACAAAAATTGAAGTGTTGGTACTATTGGTATAGTAAAGCTATAATAAAATAGAGTGCATCACATTTTCCATAATTTCTTCCTAAGTTTGAAAAGCTTTATAGTACTGCAGTATATTAAGTAATAGCTAGATTAATACAAGAGCAAAATATGAATTATGTGCTGTAGACGGCTTTGTTACACATCTTTCTGCTTTGTTCAGACATCTGCCTTCAAGACGTGACTCTTGAGTCACTCTCTTAGTTCTCTTTTTGTTAAGAAATCTGCCCCCAGTGCAACACTGTATATTGGGCTACTGACAGAAAGAATCTTATTAATTAGGAAAGAATGAGTGTGCTGGTAGGGTTTTGCTTCTGTGTTTACAAAGAGCTCATCATGTGCTTTGTAAGCTACGTCAATGATGAACATACTTTATCCATGCAAAGTTTTCAGTTTGTATTGAGAGAAAGCTTTTTAATAACAGCTACCCACCAGGTCTTATTATTTCTCATGCCTTGTCTAATCTTTAACCTATTTTAGCTAGATTTAGCTGTATTTGCAAAAATTATTTAAGGTATTCTTCCTGCATCTGCAACTTATTCAGGGATATATCATTGTTACATCTGTCCTAGCCAGAACAGCAAAACTATTCAGTGCTCTGGTCTGCTGTCAATCCTGTGGTTGTGAGCTTGTTTTACTTATTATTATCAAGTAACTTATTTGACCTTCAGTTTTGCTTAGTGTGTGTAATTGTGTGGCTCTCCTCCCCACAGAAAAAAAATTATATCCTATATAGAGAAAGCATAACAAATTAAATAGAAGTGGTCATGACATGACTAACCCCCTGGATCATGTGGAAAGGAAAGTGATCCCATTAGTGATCACAGGACAGAAGATAACCCTCAGACGCTGAAAGTGAGAGGAAAAAAACTTTGGATGATGCCAATTCACTGTAACCATGCTGCTGAACTTAACACCTGCTGTACAGGCAGAAGTGTGTCTATGGATTTTGGTTTTGGTATCATTATCAATCTTTAACAGAAATTTTGTGATTTGGATTAAGAGCTTTAGTGTTGCTGTAACTTGATTAATAACTACCACTAATTTCACTAGATTCCAACTCTTTAATCCTCATATAACAGACATTTTCTTTTGATTGCCCATTTCTGCATGAAATACCAGGTCGATGTAAAGCTGTCATCTAATAGATAAACATTTAAGAGACTAGTGAAGTCCTGTTCCTCAACTGAGTTTATTGTGTTAGTGTGGCAAAGTAGTACACAAGCTACAAACATTCATACTATGTCATACAGAACTTACATATCAGACAGTCTAAGTCTCCCTGTATGGTGGTATTTTCTGCCAGGAAAGAGATATCTACATACCAGGAACTCACATTCATGTGGTAACCAACTGAAGTTCAGTTTCAATGTTCTTGACTGCTCCATTTTATAAGTCTGGTGTACATTTAATCTTCTCCAAATACTCTTTACTGGTTTAATTTTTCAAATATTTATTTTACTTCCTTTCACTTAAAAAGAAGTAGTTCAAATTAGTCTTAATCTAGTTTGGGCTAAGTAATCTGTTTTGTTAGAACACCCTTATGAGAATACTTACAGAGGAGCAAAGAAGGAATTACTTTGATTTTCTTCTATTGTTACATAGGATGTCGGTATACCCTCACTGAAGCAACTTCTCCCTGTCCTCCAGGGACATCAGTTTCAAATCTTGAAGTCATTCTGTCTCCCCTTTTCTATTAAATTGCAGTCTTTTTTCTCCAGCACAGCCTTTTCAGTTATGACCAAAGGCAGCACATTACCTTAGAATAAGTTTCCTTCCATTATATGGGCACTCTGAATCTTCTGCCATTTCATATGTCCTTAAGTTAGCTTTTACACTGAGCTTTTTCCTGGCCTCCAAAAAGACACAGAACCCAGCATATGCTACTAAGTGCCAGTTACTCTGAATTAAAGACATGATTGATCATATTGAAGCAGAAAATGAGTAACCTTAGCATTACACCTAGAAGAGAGTCCTCCCAAAACTAGTTCTTCACATACTCTCAATTACTGTGGAAAAAGATCTGTAAAACTGTTACCATTTCTTAGCCTGTTTAACATGTGCAAGCTTGATTGCAAACACATGCCATTTTTCTTCAAGGACAATGTCACAGGAAGCTAGTGCTACAAGGCTGGAACATTGCTGAACTCTGTATGAATTGTATCAAAGCTTGCTCTTGTCAGCAGAACTTGGGAAAAGCATGAGTCCTCCTACATGTCAGTTACTTCAGTCTGGATACAATCTCATACAGGGAGACTGATCTATTGTAATAAAGAAGGAAGAGAATGAGCGTACTTACTTTGTACCCTTGAAGGTGTCCTCGGACACTTTTTAGTGGAACTGGGTCCCAATGCACCTTTGCTAATGTGCTGTTAATAACATGAACCTGCACATTGCCTGGAGCAACCATTGGCACTGTGTGGAAAGGATGCAACAAGCACCTAGTTAGAATTAAAAACCACACAAACAGTTTTTTAGAATGAGTCTTTGCATTGTACTCATGGAACAGGTTAAAATGTTCCTATGTTTTCAGTATTGATACTACAGAGTAGCATGAAGCCTTTGCTATCTCTGAATTGCTTCCTTTCAATTAAAAAAATAACTACTATTCCCCATATCAATATTTCAGTATTTTAAATAACCATTCAGGCTACACATTTATCTCCTTTTAATTAGGATAACTGAGTCAAACTACAAAACTTACAGTCTTCCCCTGAATGTCCAATCACCTCTGATGGCTCTGGTGCATACCCCAAGTCATTTAAAGCTTGCACTTTTACTTCATATGGAACAAAAGTTGGTGTACCAGACACAATATATTTAGATACATTTGCAACTATAACAGATGTCCATTCATCGTCAACATCTTTCTGGCGCCAGCTGACTTTGTACTGAAGCCCTGGTCCATTAGACTGAAAACCTTTCAAAGGCTGAAATGAAAAGAAATATTTTTTTAAATATTCTGAAGCATCTGAAAAATCACAACTTAGAAAGAAGTACATTGATTCTTTTATAGAATGTCACTGAAAATTTACGTCTGTATTCTGCAACAGAGAAGCACTGGTGAAAGTTATGCAATTTAGTTTTTACAGGAGGTCACTTCAATTGACCATTTTTTTCAGTTTTCACTTTTTGGTAAAAAGTACATTGAATGATGTTGGTGGCTAATTCTTACACAAATAGCAGATTATGATTTCTGTATATATATTTTGTTTTCAAATATTTCCTAAGAAGTGGAAGAGAGAAAACCAGACTTGCACCACCTCCTTATGAAGAGTGTACCCTAGGCAATATTTCTTGCCTGAGAGGGCAAATTGATTATACGTGGCTCTCCTTCAGCTCCTGTCATGATGGTAAGGGCATGATGGAAAAAACTTCAACCAAAGTTTTCTACTGAGAAAGTGCACAATGATTAGTTTATCATAAAAGGTGACAGTAGAAGTAACATTCACATTAGTATTCACTCTAAAAGTTAGACTCTCCTTGACATAAACCTCCATTTATATTTTGAAGTTTTCCTAAACTGGCAGCAAAACATCCTGTATTACCTAATTATTGGCTTATCTTGAGAAATTACGCAAGGAAATCTGCCCTCCACCTTTAACTTATTTTCATATTTAAAAAAAAAAATCATTTTTTTCATGAAAATGAAGATGGGAAATGTATGAATTTAGCCCTTTTTCAATAATATTTTAAGCAGGCAGTTGGGTATTCTCATCATTGGTTCTAAAAAAAAAGCTACTCACAAACCTGAAAACACACGAAACCTTGAAAAAAGACCCATCTTACCTCCCATGTTATTACCAAATTATCAGGTTCTGAGCCTATCCCCTGTACATTAGCAGGATTTTCATCAGGGCCTAAAAATAAAATATTTACACGTGAACAAGAATGGCTGTTGTGTGATTCCAAGCAAACTCAACGCTATTCATAGCAGGAATCAATCCCTGGGAAGTGGGAATAATTATTTACTTGCAGATTTTGTCAGGTACTGCTCAGATGGCTCGCTGGGCTGGCTCCTGCCAATCCTATTGACAGCGATCACACGGAAGGAGTAGTTGACATAGGGAGACAGCTTCAGCTGCGCCATTGTCTGGGTGCCAGGCACCTCCGTCTGGTAGCGCCACACGCCCGGCTCGTGCAGCGCGTCTTCAAACTCGACCACAAAGCCTGCAAGCAGGAATTGAATCCAACCTCATGTCAAAACTCAAAACAGCCTCCCAGACAAGTACAGGCGCTTCTGAATGAGCTAGCCAGAAGGGATTGCTCCAACCAGCGCTTTCAAAAATCACGGAACCTGACATGTAAATACAGAAATCTAACACAAATCTATAATGTGGATATCAAAAGTAGAAATAAAGGTGAAATATAAAAATAAACCCTTACTTTTATCCTTTGCTACTGTCATTAATGCAGCCATCCCTCAGGTAACACATTATTACAAGAGCTCTCTGTCAGGTACCGGATTTTAATTTAATGGGAGCCCTTGAACTATCACAGCAAGGAAGTAGAATTTGACTGCCAAATACATTGTTCTTAGTTGTATCAAGCAGACAGCAGGCAATACCTGTATAAATTTAAAACTCCCTGAATATTTCATTTTCCACAGTGAAACTGGTATAATGAAAATCTATTTAAAGTCAAGAACCTATACTTGAGGGAAAGTTTTTGAGAGCACTTTTCATTATCTTCAAATTAAATCAGGGAATGTATGTTCAGAAACTAAATTTTTTGAGACTACTCTGTGTGAACATTATGATGATTGGTGTTAAGACCTTACAAAGCATACAACCTCAGGGGTAAATAATTTTGTAAAATTCCAAAAAGAAAATTATATTCATTATGAAAGACAAAAGGACGTTTTTTACAGATGTGAAACAGCCAAAAAACCTTGCTGTAAGATATGAGACATGAATTCTGAAAGACTTAGGAGGAATTTTTAGGACTCAATAAAAAAAATGGGAAAAGAATGTACAGTCTGAGTACATTCCACAGAACCTGGAGCATCAAATATTTACCTGGAGCATCAAATATTTGTGTGTTGTGTAACAAGAATTTCCTCTATTTCATGTCTGGGTGGAGACAGAATGTGACTCAAGATTGATCCTGTTTGAACTACTAAAAAAATCAGAGCGGCGTCTAGAAATTTCTTTTAGAAGAATACTTACAGCAAGCACCACATAGAAAAATGCACAATTTCAGGAGCAAGATGTAAAAGAGGTAAGTAGTACTAATCATAGCCTTCTGGCTGGCAGATTTAATTCTGACCTAAGTAGTAAGAGGGAGAATTGACCCCAAATTACTGTCTGAGCTACTGCTGCATTTGTGTGCTCAGTGATACAGGTCTTGGGATGGGATGCCTCCTGGATAAAGTCTTGCTGAAAAGGTGAGAATATTATATGCCAAATAAGGTGTTCACTACTGCTTTTTGCTTCCCTGTCCACTAGCCTTCTGCCTGCAACTCCAGTAGAATAATTTATAGGCAACTTCAAGGGAAAAAAAACTATCTGAGCTTTCAGAGAGATTCTAGCATGTCTGTCATACTGTGCAAACAGATCACTCCTAATGAAGTGCAATCCTTGAGTCTTCAACTGCACTTTGAAGTGATAGCAGCAGCAAAAGAAATAGGCTTACTTAGAAAGCAAATGCCTTATTTTGCATGCTCTAAGAAGACCATGCAGGAATATAAATTGTTTTATAATTAAACCCAGCATTATTTAGTTAGAAGAGTTCAGTTTCCAATATGAGAGTGCATGCAGTATATAGTTCTAGAAAAACCTACAAGAGACAACACTGCCTAGCATTAACTCTTTTGCAACAGTGTGATCTCATTCCTACAGAAAGACAACACTTCTGGCATGGAAAACAATGAGAATACTAATGAAAGTTTATGTATATGAATAAACCACTATTCAACTGTTTACATTGATCTCTATATATTATATTTTAAGGTATATTGCTAGTTGATATCCATTAGAGATGCCTGAGACCATAAAATTTCAGAAAAATCACTTAGAGTTTCACTAAAATGCAGCCCAAATCGTTCATGTGTTCAGAAACTTGTGAAACTCTGTCTTTTACAAATTTTCCTTTCCAGATATCTGATCCTTATGGTTTGTTTTCAGTGTTGATACCAGCTCACCATCAAACCCTGGACAGCAACACCCAGTAAGTCAGTCTAACTAATTTGTTCCAAACATAACATCCACACCGGTCTTAGCAACTTGTGGCTCTTATCATCTAAAAACACACTGCATAAATAATGAAATAATTGAATTAAGTTGCTCATAGGGAAAAAGTAATGCCAAAAAGTCTTTCTGATCCCATGATTTTTTGGAAAACAAACATTAATATCTTTATTCCTTGCTCCTAAATTCCCCCTTTGTCCTCTCTGCTCAATATAAGCAAGACTTTTCATTATGTCTTAATGGGAAGAATAACAGCATTTAATATCAATTTACTGTCTGAAAACTGTATAGATATTTCATTGTTTAGTTTTATGGATGTGGTTTATTCTTATAATGGTCTGGATTAGAAAAAAACCCAGAAAAACTATCTACTTTATATTTTCATGAAAAATAAACTTCTGCACCAGTAGAAATGGATAATCACTGACAATGGTGGTACTGATACTATTTCAAATTCACAGAATTACAAAAGAGTTAATGCAAGATGTTAGTAGCTCTCTCCTTCAGAAGCATACAAGCAACGTACAAGACTGCTCTCTACATATTCATAAAATTGGACTTTGTCAGACAGACCTCATATCAGTAAATATTACTTCTATATCATCTAGTACAAGGTTTTGAATAAAAAAGCCCAGCTCCTCTGGTCTTCCTGCTTGGCTGTACAGTAGTTATTAAGGGTATGTTATGTAAATAAATGGCAGATGTAGAGAATTAATTTATCATTTCCCCACGCTGTACACAACATTTATTCCAGAAATTTTTGGAATTTGAGAACAGTTAGAACAAAACCTTCAATGTAGCGTAGTAGATACAAACAAACATACTTGTAATGGGACTGTTGTTTTCATCCCCTGGTATCCATGAGAGATCAATGCTTCTTTCTAGCTGACCTGTCAACTCCAAGTCAAAGGGTGGGTTTGGCCGAGCTGTAAATCAAATGAACACAAAGTAAGTAACCAAACCAGAAGATGTACTTTAATATTTGAAAAAAATCCTTACATTCCAATTAAAGAACTCCACAAATACAGCAGGGCAGGTCTACTCACTTATGTAAGCATGACTTAAAGACTAATAGCATGCAATTATTACAAAACAGACAAAAATGGAGAACTGATGTAACCTGGAAACTTCTATACCTTACCAAGAATTGGTATTTATTTTTAGCTATGTCTGAGTGCACTGTGATATAAAAATGTGATGTGACAAGATGCAAGGAATTATGAAATGCCTCTTTAGTTTATCTTTCAATGATTATGGGTGGTTATCTATTGCAACAGACATACCTCATACAACATGGAAAATAAAGAAACATTCATATAAAAGAAGCTTTTCTAGAACCATTACAAATATTTTCATATGAATTCAAAACAAGTATACTTCAAACAGAAACTAATTGCAAGTTACTAAATTATTTTTTGTCGTTCTTTTAAAAAGACTCAGAAATACCATGCAAGCTGTTATTATAAATCCTTATAATACACAAAGATGTAATTGTCTGTTCCAAATTCATGAAGGTAATTTATTACATGATTTTTTACACAAAAATCACAACTAATAAGTAGGTTCATGTAAGAATACATAAGCATTTTCACTGATAGGATTTACATAAAAGTGCTTAAAACCCTTACAACTTAAAGTATTTTAGCTTATTATATTGCACTTGAACCCCCAAATTCAGAAAACATACCACTATTTAAGGCTCTGTATAATCAAATATAAGTCTATGCCTGACTAACAGATTTTTTTTTTAAGTTTTAACTTAAATTTTAAAATTTTGGTGATTTCATCAATTATAAGTTAAACTGATCATTATGAGCATATTCATCTTATGAGTGGAGTAAAATTAAGATAAACTATGAAATAAAATAGAGCAGGACTACAAGGCTGCAAAACTAATGTTAACATACAACATAATTTGGTTGGTACAAAGTCTTTAATAGTGAATTACCTTTCACCAAAGAACTGGATTTACATTTTAGATATTTCATTTTCTATATAACTAACTTGTGTTACAGCGTGGTCTATGAGAAAAACATTGCCATCCTATACCCAATCTTAATTAAAATTATCTCTGAAAACCAATTATTCCCTAAATATAAAGCAGCCTGCATTGTAACATTCCAAAGTTCTGTGCTACAGTAATGGAGTAGTCAGTAAAATGGGATGAAACCACACAGACACAGACACACACAGAGGAAAATGGGAAAGAAAAAAGGCAAAAAGAAATTGCAACAGGCAAATGAGCAATATATCTGCCTGATGATGTAGAAAGAGAACTTTGTTTTAGTTTACCGTAAATGATAGCTGGTGTTGGGGGAGCAGCTGAAAAGAACATTAATATAAAGGATTTAATCAGTTAGTAGCCAAAGAAACAGAATACTGTAGGTAGTTAAAGACTATAGTTATTAGAGACAAAGAAAAGTTAACTTATTTAGATTAAATGCTTAATTAAAAAAAAACAGATTATAATTTTTCACTGAAGGGCTAAAAAACCATTCTTGAATACTTTATTCATTTTTAAAATGACAGATCAAGAAAATAAATAAAGTAAGCAATCCTATAAAAATTCCTAAATGAGTGCTAGGCTTTTGGCTTAGATCATTCCTGGATAGGCTTAAGATCACAGCAGAATTTTAAAACACAAACATACTTGCTCTGAGTCTCAGATTGAACTCATGTAAGAATCATTCAGGAAATCTACTTAAAACTTTCTTACAAATTGGAGAAGGGGCAAACTAATATATTTGGCAAGAATCTGCAATCATAAAACTTAAAAGAGAACTAAGCTAAAAATACAATCCATGAGAAGTCATACAGCCAAGTCTGCTCAGTCTTTCTGAAGCATAATTTAGTTGTTGAAGAGATTCCTGAGATAACACTCTCCCAACACAACAAAGACATGTTCCTGTTGGAAGGAGTCCAGAGGAGAGCCACCAAGGTGACAACAGAGCTGGGGCACCTCTCCTATGAAGACAGGCTGAGAGTTGGGGCTGTTCAGCCCAAAGAAGAGAAGGCTCTGGGGACACCTTAGAGCAGCCCCCAGCTCATACACAGGCTCCAAGAGAGCTGGAGAGGGACTTTTCACAGGGGCATGTAGTGGTAAGACAAGGGGGAATGGCTTCAGCTAAAGCAGAGTGGGTTTATTTTATGTATTAGGAAGACATTTTTTATGGCGAGGCACAGGAACAGGTTGCCCAGACAGGTTGTGTGGAAGGTGCCCCTGCCCAAGGCAGGGGGGTTAGAACTAAATTACCTTAAAGGTATCTTCCAACCACAGCCATTCTGTGACTCTACCAGGGTCATGTTCAAATACCCTCCAAAATTAAATTTCCTGTAGTAGCTCAGATGTGGTCAAAATAAAAAGCTATACAGCATGAATCTGCCCTGTAGCTACTCAGTCATCTTGTAAGCAGCTGACTCAAATGCAAACTGTAAGGTGAGACTACATTTTTTAAAAACTGAAACACATTGACACTTAGGTGGCATTTCTGTTATCCTGTCCTAAAAATCAAAACTCTGTGCTTTTCACTTTAAATCTAATGCTGTTTTCATACTTAACAGTAGAAGTTTGAGAGCATTCTTACCAACAACAGTAAGCACAGCACTTGCTGAAACACTGTCCAGAGTAGTATTAACTATGCAAGTGTATGTTCCATCATCTTTATCAGTTACATTCATAATGGTCAAGTTGTCTTTACCAACTAGAAACCTGTAAATACAATAAATTCAGCCACTGATTTTTCAATAACTGGTACTGTAATAAGAAACTTGCATAAAACATTATCAAATCCCATATACTTGTACATACCTAAACAGCTATGTTTACCCAAGTTAAGCTGTGGGACAACATAATCTTTTTTTTTTTCTTCATTGCTCTTGACCATCTTCCCATGGTGATTTTTATTCTAATGCGCTTTTCTTTTCAAATATATTCAAACAAATTTTAAATATTTGTGATCCAGAGCAAAACAGTTTTATGTTATTTGTTTAGCTTCTTAAGTCAATTATCTTTACCTTACACTTAACCTATAAGGCCAGTGTGCATAGTTTGTATAAATGTTTACATCTCATTTTATTTTTAATTCTATCTTGATATTTTCATCACATTAGGTAGGTCCTTTAGTCACCAAATATTGGATAGCCATGATGTTTATCAGTCTTTGGAAAATATGTCAATAGGTCAGTATGTTCCTTTCAAAGATCAGGAAAAGGAGCAGACAAAAGGACCTAGAAAATTAAAAATAAAGGAAAACTATGCGGTCCTTACCTTTCATCATCTGGCAGTTCATCATTGTCCTTCAACCATGTAACTGTTGGTAGTAAGGTAGAATCATGTTTTATTATACACTCAAAAGAAACCTGGCCATATCTCTGAATCACTTTGTATTCTGGCTGTTTAATGATCATCGTTGGATCTGAAATTTAAAATTAAAATTAGATATCAAGAAAGTCTGAAATTCTGTAAAATTCTGAAAATCAGTGATAAAAGAATGACTAATTTCTCACCTTTAATTTCCAACTGCACCTCATTTTGTATCTTTCCTAATTCATTCCTTGCTACACATGTGTATGTACCGGCATTACTCTTCTGAGCCACTGGAATTTCCAAGGTTCCATTATCATGGAAAACGTACTCATTTCCACGCAGGATGCTACCTTTCACTCCCTTAAACCTTTGTGCAAGAAGTAATATCATTAGCCAGCATCACAGTTAAATTCTGAATGGTTTTATTGTCAATGAAATACAAACTTAGGACTGCCACATTAGAAAATAGAAGCACTCAAAGAAATTTAAACTTGACTCTGTAGGCGTAACTTTACTGCTGGTTCATTAAGTACATGCAATATTGTATTAGCAAATTGCAAACAGCATATATTTTAAAAACATTATTTTGAAATTGTAAATAGATTTAGAAGAATTCTAAAGCTTCAAGTGTTTACTTCCATAGATATAAGTGGCTCATCTTCTGTAACATAAGCACAGCTGGAGCTTACCATTCAATTTCAGGCTTAGGTGACCCAAAATAAGCACAGTCTAGCAATGCAGGGCTGTCTGCAATAACTTGATACAGTTTATTAGCAGGAGTTAGAATTCTTGGTGGCTCAGCTGAAAAGACAAAGAGATCTGCATATAGTTACAAAGTTACAAATAGCAAATACATAGTAAAAAGTATAACTACAAATACAAAATACAAAGACATCAAGAATGGCCTAAAAAATTACATAAAAACATTTTTCCCTGGGATGATTTTGGGTCTCAGTCTGGGCTCAAATACATTCTACTACTGGTACTAGCCTGAGGAAAAGTTAATGCAGGGAAATTATCTTGTGAAAAACAACTGTTTCATGCCTATTTACGAGTAATAGTGATGGGCACCAAAGGCAATGATTTCAATTGGAAAATTTAAATCAGTATATACTTCAAGAAGATAATCTCCTGGGTACAGACTGAACTAACTAATTCCAAACAAACCTGCAGGCAGAAAGAAGCTAGGATGCATTTTTGGTGTAACACCTACATTTTCTGTCTTTTAAAGGACAGTGTCAATCAACACATCGGCCAGTTCCTGCAAGAGAGTCACTCTGCCTAGGATTATGCTACTAGCTTTTTTTAAATTCAGTGAAAAGAATTAGAGGGACCACAACATATTGTATTGTAATCAGAAACACATGCCAGGGAAGCCTTAGAGACAAATGCATAATCATGTCCCCTTGCAGCAGTAACTTGGAGATCATCCATTCCACTAATCCAAAACATCCAGACTCAATGAAACTGTATTGAAATGTACTAACTTAAGCAACACTAATTCCTGCCTGCTTTGTTGGGCTTCTGTTTGACTGACTTACACAAACAAAAAAAAAAAAAAAAAAACAAAAGAAAGATAAAATTTCTTCCGATTTTTCCCAGCTTTCACATCTATCCTTCTCACTTTGGAACAGTGAAAGTGAAATTCAGAAATATCCTAAAAAAAAAAAAAAAAGCTATGTATACCCTTGCTCTTTACAGAGGTCAGGAAATAAACCAATTCCCAATGAAGACCTCAAGCAAGGCTTGAGCAGAGAGTCTGTGTGTTAGCAGGAGACAACTGAATACCCAAGAAAACAGCAAAATATGAAGTCTTTTTCTTACCCAGAACATTCACAAAAGCATTTGCTAGCAAGTATCCATATTCATTGGAAGCATTGCACTGATAGACAGCACTTGACCTTTCTTGCACGTGTGAGAAAATAATGGTGTCACCATCCACCTTTCTGCTAGGATCTTCTGGGGCAACTGTTGGGGTAAAGAAAAAGAGTTATTGCCTTTCCTAAACTGCTATTGGATTGCAAGTTTCATACTTCTGAAAAGAAGGAAGAATGTGAAAAACCAATACCCTTTAAGTTGGTTTTTTTCCCTGGGTGACTGATCACTAGTAAAAATGTGAATTTTAATGTAGTTTAAAAAGTTCTTCTCATTCTACAGGTATTAAGTCAGGATGGTAGAGTTCCCATTTTTTGAGAGGTTTTTTTGTTTGTTTTCTAAGGGAGTGAAGTTAAGATTGCATTTTGCACAGAATACAGAGGAAAAATACCAACATTACAAGATTCAGGCAGATACAGTCAATATCTAGAAAATTACAGAAATATTTCTGAATGTCATGATACAATGATACAATGACATAGTCCTCTGTGTCTTTAAAGTTTCAAATTGATTGTTATACCATAAATAATTTTCCAAATATAAAATTAGCCATACTCAGTTGAAAATTATCTCAGAGTAAAGAATAAGCATTCCTTCTAACCAAGTCAAGAAACAATCTTCTCAAGAGCAGAGTTAGTTCTTCAGTAGGTGGCACTCTTTCCCTTATGTAAGAATTATACAATGCCCTTTCCTCAACTGCTCTGGAGTGGCCTGAGCTGAATCAAACAGCTTCTGCATCACAGAAGCACCCAAGAACATAACTGAAAATAAAATTCTAAGAAAATACTGAAGAAGAGTAATAGCTGTCAGTTCTGATACAACTGAATGGCATTAAAAAAGTATAATGAAAAAAAACAGCTTGTAACACCACACTGCATAAAAACGCAAAATCTATAGTTTAATATTTTATGAACATACTAAATAAGACCAGATATATTATTATTGTATTAAAAAGCACAAGTATTATTAATAATGAAAATTAATGGTAAAATTACTGATCTACTAATATGAAAAATAGATGTATTTATGCAGAAATAAATGCATCATAGTTTGGCTGCATCATCAAAATTGACACCCTTATTGAAGCTTGAAAAAGAATATTTGTGGAACACATTATCATACAAGGAAATTCTTATTTTAATTCATAAAAAAAGATCAATCAAGTAAATTAACATCCATTTTCTGTGACAGGAACCTTTTGATTCAGACAATACCTTAGTTCTCATCTGTAAAGAAAATGGAGACATTTCTCCTGCATTTTCTTAAAGTATGTATTACTGAATTCTCTACAAAAGAAACCAGATGAAGGGGACCACAGTTCTGTGTTTCTGCTTAAGGGTATTTCCAGATTGGATGAAATCTAAGACCATTTTTCATGTGAATACCTCAATATCCAAACAGCTGCCTCAAGAACAGATTTCCCTTTCTGTTTTTTCTCATCTTCCATCACTCTGAGTTCAAATAAACATCACAAATTGAAAAATTTTGGGAAGGAAGAAAAAGGTACTACTGAGATTTTAAATGCTTAGTCTCTGGACTTCTGGATTGCTGGCACATATTTTTCTTTCTTTTGCTTTACTTCCTATTGTGTTCCATGTTTCACATTGCCTCCTTTTCTACGTAAATGCCATTTTCATTAAAAGATTCATGGGCTGAAAATAGCCGGAGCAGGTGAGCAGCCCAGCAGGCAGGCCAGTCAGCTGCGGGAAGCAGTCTGTTTCTGCATACAAATCACAGTTCAACAGAAGACAGGCACAACTGCTCTCCCACGAGGAAGGAGAACTGCCCACAGCCACTCCAAGCACGGCTGCTTCCAGCCCTGGGCTCTGGGCTTCCCTCCACTCATGCCCTCTGAAGCCTGCAGCACTTTCTGCACCCAGCTGGGTCATTAATGGGTGCACAGACTGCCCCCCTCACACACACTCCAACACATAATCCCTTACAGGATGATGGCAGGCCCCTCCTAAGAGATGGAAGCCATTAAATCAATCTTCTATGGCTGAAGGAACTGCATTGAAAAGAATGATCTAACCACTAAATTACTATAGAAAAAGAGAGGCAGCGTCTTCCCTTCCCTCTGCCGTACTGACAGAAAAAAGGAGATAACCCCTTTCAGGTATCTGAAGGAAAGGAGGTGCCTGTTCTCTAAAAAGGGCTTCAAACTGGGGTCCCAAGAGAAAAGAAGGCAGAAGTGTCAGATTAGCTGGTGCTTTCTGTTAATTGGTCAAGCCAATTGGATGCTGAAGGGCACTGATTCAAAAGCTCCCTGTTAAGACAGACATCTATTTAACTGTCTGCTGAATACAGCTTCTTTAATGGTCTGCAGCACGCACTGCTGCACTCACAGACACAGAAACATTGAACTTGGAAGGGACTTTTGGAGGTCATCTGGTCCAACCCCCTGCTCAAGCAGGGCCACTCAGATCCAGTTATCCAGAACTGTGTCCAGATGAGGGAAGGATCACTTTCCTCTACCTGCTGGCTACACTTTTGTCTCATGTAGCCCAGGATAATGCTAGCCTCTTTGCCACAAGGGCACATTGCTGGCTCATGGTCAACTTGGCATCCACCAGGATGCTCAGGTCCTGTTCTGCTAAGGCACTATCCATCTGGATGGCCCCCAGCATGTACTGGCACTAAGGCTGCTTCTCCTCAGGTGCAGAACTTTGTTCCACCAATCACCCTCTCTGGGTTTGGCCATTCAACCATTTTTCTATCCACGTCTCTGCTGTTTATCCAGCCCCTACATCAACAGCTTGTCCATGAGGATCTAATGGGAGACAGTGTCGAAGGCCTCACTTGCAGTCCAGGCAGACATTATCCACTCCTCTTGCCCTCATCTATCTGGCCAGTCATTGGATCATAGAAATGTATGAAGTTGGTCACCTCTTGGTGAAGCCATGAAAACTACTCCTGAAAGTTTTCTTGTCCTTAATGTGCCTTGAAATGGTTTGCAGAATTAGCTATTCCATCACCTTCACAGGGATAAAGGTGATTGCAGTTCCCTGGTTTCTCCTTCTGGCTCGTTGAAGACGGGAGTAGCATTTGCTTTCTCTCCATCTTTAGGCACTTCTCCCAGTTACCATGATCAAGCAAAGATTGAGACTGTTCTTGCAATGACATATGCCAGCTCAGTCAGCACTTGTGGCTGCATCCCATCAGGGGCCACACACTTAGGTATGTTCAGTTTGCTCCTGACCTAATCCTTTTCCAGCAAGGGTACATCTCATTCTAGTCTTTTCCCCGGTCTTTGGCACCTGGGATTCCTGAAGGTCAGTCTTGCTAGTAAAACCTGAGGAAAAGTAGCATGCAATACTTCAACCCATTCCATATACCAGTCTACCAGTCAAAAAAAAAAAATCTTTTAAAATCCTTTTCTGGGGAAAAGGAGTGATGGCAGGGCCAGTCAAGCACTGCTTGTTTGTATATGTGAATATTCTGGTCACATTACACGATAGTGGCATGAGAAGGAGAAAATGCTTTTGACACATTAGACAAATCTGAATTTGGCACTGATAGGCAAAATAGCAAAAACCTACATAATAGTTAAAATGAGCTTGTACAAATAGGATAATGAATTATAAGCATTTGCTATAGCTATAGGAGTTCTGCTGCTGCAACAAGACAGGTGAACATGTGCCATCTAGCAGCCAACATCTGCTCCCAATAACATGGAATCTCAGCTTATCAATGTGTTTTGGTCCTTTCTGAACAAATACCTGGTTTCACTTGATTTTTTCATCACACTGTACAATGATACAGCTTCTTGACTCTAGCCATGTTCAGCATATTCCTAAACAGAGAAGGCAGGGCCTCCATCAGATATTCTTGTTGTAGTTAGAGATCAGCACTGTGAATAACTTCTGTTCATTTGATTGCATACTTCCATCTGTTTCATAAACTTTTGACAGCCTAAGCAATTATTTTCACTAGTATGCTCAAATAACCACAATGGCAGCATTATTACTTTTTTTTCTTGAAAATAAAGACAGAATGACATGTGCTCTCTGAACAGAAGTAGTTCAAACATACTGTTACACTTAAAACTGGAAGGGGAAAAATCTGGATAAAAAAAACATGGATAACTGAAATGGTAAAGAATATATTTTTCCTTGTTTTACCAACCTCACTTGCTCCTCAGCATATTATTTTCCTCTGATCGCTGAAATCCTTTTCTTGCTGAGTTTCTGATTCTGACAGTTCTGTTGTCTCCAAAGGCACAGCATTACCTGCACTAACTATAACCACCCTTGCCTATTTTGTGAAGAATTGAAAAAAACCTGATAATCAAAGGCTTTTCATCTGCTGAAGTTCCTAGGCCAGATGCAAAGTTCCAACACAACAAGCAGTGGATAAACATCTTCCCATGCAGTCTTCTCTCCGAGACTGAAATAATGAGGGCATTAGGGTCAGCAAATTTCTCCCCACCCTCCCATAGCTGCAGTGAACAACTTCTGGTTTTACTCTCAGAGAAAATGAAGGATGATGAATCTCTCAGCCAGGGCATATCAAGGCCTTTCATGAAAGAAATCTAAGGGCTAATGTTTCTCCCTTAAATTCAGTGTGAGTACCACAGGAGACTAACTCAAACCTAAAGATTCAATGTGGAATGTAATATAAGAAGAGAACAATGTGTTGAAAGAAGATAAACAGCACTTTTGCACTACTTTGTATAAATCTAAGTGTCTGTATCTAATATTTAATAGCTCACCATGAAGTATAAACCACTGGACCAAAAAAACCAGTCTTTTGTACAGTATTTGCAATGCCTTTCTGAACTCCAATTATGAAAGTGTTTCCCCTTCCCAATTAATTTGGGTTGTTACTTTCTTAAAAGTTGAGACACTTTATGCATGGCTTCTTTTTTGTAAAACCATGTTGAATATCTAAGCAGTAAGACACAATGGATTATGCAGTGATATAAATAATGCAGATCTTGAGTGTTAATTGAAGCACAAGGCAACACAGAGTCATGGCCTGAACTTTCAACAGCTACTTGCCAAAGTAATTCTAATTGACCTTAGCAGGACTGGGCACATAAGTTCAACATACTCCTGTGAGTAAACATTAGGAGGTTAGGTTAGGTCTTTATCATTCCAACATGACTAAAGCAGCTTTTTTTTTTTAGAAATGCTGGTGTTTTCAGCATGACTGTTGAAGAAAACTAATTAAAATATTTCAGGGAAACCTAGAATCTGACTTAAAAAATATATTTTTACTCAGATTATTGGAATATTGAACAAAATTCACACCATTGTAATTTTATTTTATAGTTGCTAACACACACTACATTTTTATCTATTTTTTTTTTTGCATTTTCCCTATAGATATTTAAAGCTCAGCCTTTGACTGAGATATGGACGAATGGTTCTTTCTCCAACATTCCCTCTTCCTTGTCTGACTCTATTATGGAAAAACAAAACCAGAAGAATTAAGTATCTCCCAGTTGTGCTTTCCAACAGAAAATTAAAGTATTGCAAACAGATTACTAGGCCACAAGAGGCACATTGTGGGATATATGATGACAGCAGGGCTTTGAAATTCAAATGTAGCTCTTTTTCTTTGAAACCCTGCCATGGGTGTAGCTCTCTCAGCACTGCCCTGAAGCAGAAACAGCTGCTTTAGTTTCCTTTTACAGTGATTTCCTAATCATTCAGTTGGAAGATGAGGGGCTCAATTCTATAATTTAGTAACAAGTGAACAAAAAGGCACAGTGTACTTGGTAATTTCCAGAACAGCTTTTGATAACTCAGAATAATAAAAAATCACAAGAATCTTAAGAACTGCACTTTCTGTGATCATGATGCCTCTCATGTCCTGACAGATGCAGTGTACTAGAGCATCCAATGAGCATCCAATGAGCTTTCACTTAAATATTTAATGTGGATAAGACTTCAGCTTTTCTCAGCAGTGAAAGTGACCTTTAATATAAGGCTGAGCTTTACTTATTTCCTGTGTTCTTTTTTTTTTTCCCTACAGAGTTTGAGTGGGTAATTTAATTAAAGTCTTTTAATTTTTACTGAATACCCTCAACAAGACTTTGTGTACCAATTCCTCAAGGCCTGTCCAATATATGCTTCCTTGTATTTAGGAAATTTCATGGCATCCTGCAGCTGCTTCTGGAAACTCTGTTTCGTAATGTTTTACTGTTACTGTGAAAGAAAGCAGAACACATCACTGCTTTTCTGGAAAATGTGCTTGTTGGTCCTTTGAACAGCTCATCCCACAGCTTTGATAAGGAAGAAGAGCAAGGCAAAGCTGACTCTCATAGACAGATGAAAAAGATTTTACTGGTCAGGAGGACTGAAATAATAGTTAACCTACAAGAACTGGAGGATAATAATCCCCTCCAAACAAATAAACAAAAAGAGAATGGTGAGTATACAGAAAACAACAAAGGAAGATGAGACCACCAAAAACCCAGAATGGAAAGTGAAGGAAGGTACCAAACTTTGATGATAAAATGCATTATGATATATTTATTTATAAATATATACTATACAAAATTACATTGATATTTTCCTGTTTTCCTGTCTTACCATTATTTGATGAGGTGATTAATGTCAGTTTATATAACTTATTTACCAATGGAAACTTCTCAATTTAAATTTCAGGCTGTAGATCTCACCTTCCATTTAATTAGGATTCCTGAAATAGGTAATTTGCTAAGTATTTCTATTTGTTTCAATATATACCCTTATTTTGCATTTTTTCCCCTACAAATAAGTTTACGCTCTTTTGTATACCAAATAGTTCAAATCTATCTAATGAGGGTTCTTGTTTACTTCTTGCTATTACCAAGATTCTGACCCTAGACAATCCTTCTCCATGTCCCAAACCTGGTGAATGTTATTTTGTCAACAGACTTAAACAACTCCTAAACTTCTGAAAGTGACAGAAGGGACACTGTCGTACTTTAAACAGACCAGTATTTTAGAGTACCTTATCTCTCATGAGCCAACAGGTGAGACTGGTTTTTTATTATTGTTTTGAGAAAGGGGAAGGATAAAGGTAGAAGAACCAAGTGTGACTTTAGAGTACAGGGTATGCTCAGTGCAAACCCAGCTGACAACACACTGCAGTGTCCTCCAGAAAGCTCTTTCCAAGGCAAGTTGTACTATATATAGCAGCTACCTTGTGTCTGTCATACAGCATTGCCAGTCCTAACACTGCAGCAATTAAGTGGCTCAATCACCAATTCAGGGCTGCTTTTCTTACCCATGCACACTGAAACAACTGTTCCACTGCCTCAGGGGTTCCTTTTCTTTGACACTGACTTGGCACAAACTGTTTGCCAGGTAGCTGCTGACACATTCAGACAATTTTGCTGCTGCAGCTTCTTAGAGATGAAGCCTGGAAGGCTCAAACATACACTAAGCTGCAAATCCTGCAGTGTATTGCAAATCCTGAAAATCCTACAAGTGCTCTGTATATCCACACATGTGGGAAGTTCACTTTTTATGTCACATTTAGGATTCCTAGGCAACATTAGAGTTGCAGTGAGGCAGCAAAGGAGAGAGCTAGCAGACATGACTGCCCCAGAAACACAGGGGTAACAGTGACATCCCAGCAATGGCCCTCTGAGAGGCACCATCCAATAGCCACAAAGATGCTACCAGCAGAATGCCAGACAGAAGAACCAGGAGCAGGATTACACATTTCAGTTCTCTCAAAGGCACATTTTGTTGTTCAGCTCTTACAAACCACAGTATTTTATCGGATCTTTTATGATTTAGCATTACCTGTCAGGAAAAAACTACACAAATACAGGCTCTTCACACCTATTTGACAAAAACCACCCTGAGACTCCTCATATTTTCTTACTCATGCTCCTGTAAGGTAATTAAGAATCTTACTTGCTATGGGAACACCATTTGCTAACCAGCTTATACTAGGCTTTGGGCTGCCATTAGCTCTGCAGATCAATGTTCCATCTTCTCCAGGAGACAAAACCAAGTTTCTGGGTGCTGTTATCCAGTATGGAGCAGCTGGGTTTAAGAAAAGAAAGACAGCAATTATTTTCCAAAATTATGTACAGAAAACTATAAGGCTCAGGCATAGTAATCAGAAGATAAATCAAACAAGCTATGTGTAGATATAGACTTACAGCTATACTGTTACTGTATATGTACATATATATGTATATATATATATATATATATATATGTGTGTGTGTTTATGTGATACTCAATTAAGTGGTAGATCATACATTGGCCAAACTGACCTCCTGGTCACCCACTGCATTAAAATTCTGAGAAAAACAACAAGAGGACCTTTGTTTTATTTAGGGTTGCCTGCTTTGAATCCAATTTGCCTTTCCTAAAGAAAGCAAAATTTATCCGTGTATGGCATTTGCAGACACAACAGTGGTCTTCTGATTAATTTCAGAGATATCCATGCTCTTAGTAGTTAGGATGTTAGGAATTAATTTAGGTTTGATTGCAAAAAAGAGATTTCACATCAAGGGTGAAATTTTAAAATGGCAAAATCCTTGATCTCACTTAATTCAAAGGCTGATTGCAGTGGGGTCAGATGTGTACCTGAGACAGATAAAAACACAGAGATCAAAATGGGTGAAACACTGTCCTTACTAGAAGATATTCACGTTTCTCCATCCTTTTATACAATAAATAACCACAAACAGCATATATTATCACATCTTGCAATTAATTTTCAGATTTTGGATTGATGGACAGATGCAAACAGAAAATTAAACTTCTGTTCTTAGAAAGGAAGTTAAATGTGATCATAAAAAGATGCTGATCTACAACAAAATAAGTGACTATTTATCATGCAAAGTAAGCAATACAGCTGATGATTTCAATGACTAATTAACTGTCATTACAGTTTTTTGTTTCATGGCATTCACAGCCTACTTACAATTCCTATTTAGACAAACATGCTGTAAATGTTTTTAGAACTATAAGGCATCATCTTTGGTAAAAACATGAAGAAGATAGGAACAGAAATAACAGTAAAAGAGAAAAAGGAAGAAAAACATAAGAGTGTAAGACAATAGTAAAATAGAAGAAAGAAATAATCTGGGCTATATGAATGAAAAAAAATGGAGAAAATGAGGATGAAATGATGAAGAGAGATAAGGAGGAAGGTAGAGAAGCAAGAGAAAGAAGCACTCTAATGACAGATAATCAAAGGATCTAAAATAAATGTAGTATTTGTGCAAACCAAGGCATTATCTTACCACTGTTACAGTAAAATCAGTAACAGTTTAGCCTGATGCTTTACCAAATAACATTAAAAGATGAAAAAGCTATTATAGATAGTAAAGCTCTTCCAGTGCTAGAATTCAGATAGTTGAATGTTTCCTCAGGGTGATCTTTAACCATTATCATTCATCCTTTTAGCTATACTTCATCCTAGAAAGCCTGCTTCCATCCTGCATTCTGGACCTTGACAACATTCCATTAAGGATAATTTTAGTATTACCTTTCACAGTTACTGAAATCACATGATGAACTGAACCTAATGCATTTCTTGCTATACATTTGTAGTTCCCAGAGTCAGCTTCTGAAACATCTATAATCTTGAGAGTTTTCTTAAAGTTTTCAAAAAATGTTCTGTTGGCTGGCAGTTCCCCACCCTCCTTGATCCAGCGGATTACTGGTGTGGGTCTGGAGAAGTAAAAGCACAGATCCAATTTAAGGACTGAAGAAAAGGGAGGTAAGAGTTCAGAATGTTAATATTTTTAATATATGTTTTATAAATAATTATTTTAAAAGCCTCTACCCAGATTCTGGGCCACATCCAACAAATATGAAAATATGCCAGCATTTGTTTCTAGGAAATGACAAGTCTCACTAACATTGTCAATGGCCATCTGTTCATAGGATTAATAATTACAGAATACATTTGTCTGCTGATTGACCTAAAAACCTGATGGTTAATAAATGAAGACAAGCTTCTACTATCAAATTGATGCTCATGGTGCTTGTAAAGGTAGCTTTGATAAAATGACAAGTTTATAATTGTCCTTTGTGTGAGCAACATCCTAATACTTCATGAACATCATACACTTCACAAAAGACCTGTAAGGAGACAGAAACATTTCTTGTGCGAAATCAAGAAAAATCATCAGTATTGAGCCAAGTATAACTTCTTGTCACTGCACTGAGTCTAAATCTTGGCTATGCCCCATGTTGTCCACAGAAGTTGAAAGTTGTTCAAACATGTGGAGATATACTTTGAAAATTACAAGAAATTGCAATTTGTTGCTTACTGAATAGAATGTGCTCTCTCAAATAGTAATGGCTCTAAGCAAATGTTCCCTTAGCAGTCTAATACCACATATTTTATACCACAGACAGCTAGGAAAGATGACTTTTAATTATGGTGTCAGTGATTAGGAACAGTTGTTTCAAATAAAATCTGCATCTGGCCCTTTGTAGACAAGTATTCCCTCACTGATTATTTGTGGTTTTTAATTACATGATAGCTAAAAACACAAAGCCATATAATATATTACAGTCTATTTTTTTCACAGGTTTTATCCAGCCATTTTACTGGAATTTGGATCACCTAATACATTTCTTGCAGGGTTGTCAAAAGGCATATAACTATATTGCAGATGGAGATTACCTGGGCTGGTGCTAATTCCACTCACAGGGGTGGTTTTGCTGGTGCTGCTGGGGCAGGCACCTGAGCAGGCCACAGCTGAGAGAGAAATACTGCACTGAGGCTCAGATCAAGCTGGGCTGAGCACACCCTGTGGAGCTCATGCAAATAAACATGTGTGTGGTGCTGTGGTGCATGATTTGCAATTATTGGCATTCCTCATGGCTACCTGAGAGCACTCTGCCTTTGTGCACTGCAAACATATATACAGTTCTTGAAATAGGTACTAAAGGTTTTCTGCTTCTATTCTATAACCAATCTATTCTCAGATTTCTTCCTGAGAATGAAATTGATTTAAAGGTCAACCTAACTCATGAAGTTAAATTGCTCTTAGTAATTTTCTTCTTGCACAATAACCAGCAAAAGCAAACTTGCATTGCACTGAAGAAACAAATACCAATTAAGCTCAATTACAATGAGAAATTAGATGTAAGGACCTGCGGATTTGTTTTAACAATTCCCACCTAGCACTACTAAGCAATTATTACCACGTATAAGCAGTTTTCTTGGATTAGAACAGCAAATTCTTATCTATTTTTATATAATTTGAGAACCTAATGACTGTAAACTTAGGAAAACAACAGAACTTTATTCCTGACTGCAAATCTGTGGATACATGCCTAAGATTAGTCTATAGGATTTCTTGCCTGTGTCCTTTACAAACAATGGCTCAACCTATAGCCTGTGCATAGGGCTTGGGGATAAGAGAAGGCAGAGGCCATACACATTCACAGCCAGTTTCAAAGTCTGCTGATGTCCAAGTAAATGGTGGAGTTCCTTAAAAAACCTCTTTCCATTTTACACTTCTGCTTCTTTGAAACACATAAGCTTATACAGCAGTCACGTTTTTAAGCATGTCTGAAATGTTTCCCTCTGTTTCTGTATTTCTACTTAGAAAAAAATGTCTCAAAAGTTACTCACAATCCTGCTGCGATGCACTCCAACAAAAGCACATTTCCTCTGAGTTCCACTTTGGTACTTGTGCTACCTGTTGGTGTTAGAAGAACTGGCTGCCTTTCTGTAACTGGCTTTGCTGGAACAAGAAGTAGTAAAATAATTAATTCCTAAATTTTATTCTGATACCAATCAAGTGCATACATCCATTTTCACATTTTGAACAGAGATTTTGCTCCACATTGGCCATTTGATTAAAAATCATTGTGCAGCACAACTACAAAGCTGAATACATTAGTTTTTTGACAGGCGTAACAGATCTGTTAAATGCCACAATGTTGAACACATAGAAGAGAAATGTTATTATTAAAAGACAGGAACAATTGATACAAAGCTTTTACATAGGCAACTGTGCAGTCTTATCCTAAATAGCCACTGTTTCATTCAATGGAACTACAATGGAGAGTAAGGACACTGGTGTGAGGCACAGTGCAAGACTGAGTGTTACTGAAAATTCCTGGGCTTCCATCAAAATAAAAATAAAGCAAAGTTATTTTTAATCAGAAATATAAACCAAGGGAGTGGAAGGTACAGTCTGCTTTAAAATGTGTTTTAATATTTTCTAGACCATGTGAGGCATTGTTTCAGAAAGTAATCCCGGTATTTTCCTCTTATTATATATTTAACTTTAACTTAAGCTGTTCCCCAGTCTTGCAATATAGAACCTTGATTAACCTGTAAGCAATAAGCACAGTAAACAGGCAGCTATAAATATAAGATTCATTTTTGATACTATACTCTGTTGGCTTTTGAAGAATATGGTATTTCCTATGTCTTCATGGAATTCAGAATAAGAGTTTTCTGTAATTATAGAGTGTTTTCTGTGAGCAGTCTAATGTTCTCTTGTAACAATATTCATATATAGAATTAAATGGCTCTGAATAGCTGTAAGAGTCTGAACCATTACAATAAATAGTTTTGTTTTTTAAAATGGGATTAGAAACATAATAAACTCGAAGCTTGTTAGGGTACATGATTTACTGATACATTAGCATAAATACAACACTTCATTTTAATCCAGTATGTGCTGTGAATTTCTTAATAACCTGTACACAATCAACTCAAAGTTGTGGGAGAACAGAGCAGTACAGAGTCAAGAATGCAGCCGACAGTCACAGCAACAACTCACCAACCCAGGGGCTGCAGACTCACTTGGCCAGACTGTGAGTGCTCAGAACAATTACCCAGGGTGGTTCTGAGCTGGGGCCAACCCAACAGTGTTTTCCTCACTAATTGTAGCTAATACATCGCTTTGTGTTCAGATACTCATTTCTTGTTTGTCCCTCCTGAATAACATGCAATTTTTATGTAGAGAAGTAATATATTCTGTGCCCATGTTTTATTTTAGGATAATGTAAGTTATGGTTCAATACGCACAAAGCCCCATTTCACAAAGAGAAAGACAAAAAAATAGAATAAATATCAAGTACTTTCTATGTCACCCAATATCAAGTGGAGAGTCTAGAATCAGTGGTGCTCCACAGTCAGCCTTGCTAAACACACATACATCTGTTCAGGAGGATTTAATTCAGAACATACAAAAGACCATTCAACATAGATTAATAGAAAGACCAGCTTAAACATCAAACAAACAAAACTTATCCTACCACTATGAATTTATTGGTACATTCAGTAAGTTATTAAATGTGAAGTGGATCTGTTAGGTGCTTAACTGTTGTTATTGATTATGCAGCACATGACATTGCATAGTCCTAGTGATAATGAACATATTGAAACTACTAGGTAAATTGGAAGAAAAATATAAAAAAAAATCAACACAGTATAGAAGTAGTTTTTAAAATCTGCACCAGTGTGAAAGCAGTCTTTTATTATAAGCGTTTATATTTTCTATGAGTCATATGTTACAAGAGTATTGAAAAATTAAATATTTGAAAGGATCACACTGTGCAGTCCCTTTGTAAAGTATGTATTATCACCAGCACTAATTGATACCTTTATTAGAAACTGAAAAAGGAGCAAAAGATTAAGTAGCCATGGAGGTGAAGTTAGTTAACTAAATGCTACTGTAAAACAAGGAGTATCAGTGGGGACCAGTGTAACTCACCACCATAAATATCAGTGTCACTCAAATTAGCAGCTATAGTGTCATTCAATGAATCCACTGAAATAAACAGAATATCATGAAGAAAGCATAAAAAAGGGATAAATTAAAGTTCTGGGAATCAAAAGGTGATGACATGGCCACGGTGAGTTAATCAAGTGATTGATTAATTTGCTTCAATAGTTACAATAATCATAATAACTTCATATTCTTGCACTGGAAAAACATTTGAAAATTGTTATTACACAGTATATATCAAATCTTAAACATTTTTTCAAAACACAAAGCCTTATAAAGTGAAAAATTATAGCTTTTAAAATAAATTATCTATCAAGAAAAGTGGAGATTACTTTTCAAGTTCATACAGTAATGTAATTTCTTATTTAAAACTGAAATGAAAAAATTCCCTAGCACAACACTACTTAACATTAACATGTAACTTGAGAACTCTGGATAAATACTGTGTAAGTATGTAATTTGGTGATGCAATACCTACTTGAAAAGACTTTTACAGATATGGGTTGTTTCTGCTGTATAGTTTGTGTGTGATTAAATCTTGCATAGCAGATATAGTCCTCCCGGGTGTCCTCTGGTTGTACATTAGAAAAATAAAGATCTCCATTTAGACCTTGGGAAACTCTTTCACTTTGAGGCAGCCTTTGGAAAGCTGAAGGAAAGAAAGCACACATTTATGTTAAATATAATTGACACACTCTATTATTATGATCTGCAGACTCCACTTTAATTCAATTACACTTGTTTGTGTCTTGGTACATATACAGACATTTCTAAGCTTCCTGATGAGACCCTTGTCTACTCATTCTTCCCCAGTGGGTTAATCTACAACTTACATTAAGATCTCCAGCTGCTTTTGGCTTCGTGCTTTTGGGCTGTATATCTGCTTGTTTCCTCTGTTCTACAGAAATGGAAATTCACTGAATTTTAACTTAGAGGGAAACTTCACCATCTGTGGTTTTGGTAAGCAATGATCTACTACACAGAAAAACTGCAAGAAGTCAACTGCATAAAAAACAAACTCACCATTATCCATCCAAAATATGATAGGTGGTGGCAAGCCAACAGGAGGTCTGCAGTGCAGCACTAGGGAATCACCCTCGCGAACATGATTTGGTTCGAGCTTTTCTTTCGTCCACAAAGGCGATCCTGCAGAAAGTGAATTTGACACACACACAACCTTTGGATTGGCAAAAATCTCAAAAATTTAAAGGGAAAATGCACAAAGTACTCCATAGAAATGAAAGAACTACATCCACCAGAGTGTTAAGTCCTTACATGTTTACTAAAGCTTTTATTTTTGTCCTTTTTTATGTTTTCTTGGAAAAGTTCACCAATGATTTATTAAAAGGATGATCAACTGATTCAAATTAATTTGTCTACTCACTAAAGGTTTTATAGCAGCATCTTGCAAATTTTTAACTATACTGAAAAAAAAGGTGATGTGCTAAAATAGAAAAAGGGATAGACATTCCTGAAGCAGTATTATACAGGCACTCTAAGATGTGAGAACAGCACATATTAAGCTGAGAAGCTTGAAAACTAAACTGAGATAAAGCCCATAAAAAGCTGTAGAAACAATCTACCTATAATCAAAAAATTTTAGCTTCTTTTTAGTTCAAATCAATTATGTTTTAAAGCTATTACAAAAACTATGGAGTACAGACTTAATAAACAGAATAAAAATTGTGGTCATCAATTATGCCATCAATGTCAACAAATTATCCTTAAAGTCTTAAAGATGCAAGTATTTTATTTTAGCAGTAGTGTCATACATACAACTCAGTTTTAAACATTATAAGGTTATCCAGATGTATCAAGAAAAAAATTAAATTCAAAATTACATTTTAAAAATAATTTTTTTTTTTGTAAAAAAACCCCATATTTGAGAGAACCTGTAATACAGTATTATACCTGATTGTTAGAAAATAGGCAATAACTTCTAGCATGGTCATTTGGATGACTGAAGTTTTAAGACAGGAAAACAAAAAGGCAAAAAGTTCATAAGCAAATAAGAAAACCCAAGTGTTTCACACTTTATGAACATTAAGAGCTTTACTTACTAGAAGGCCTTATAACGATATTGTTGGAAACAGCTGCTCCTCGTTCATTCCTTGCTGTACACTGGTAAACTCCCTCATATGCTTCTGCTTTCCCACCATTCATAATATTTATGACAAGAGTCCCTGAATTTGGTTTCATTGTTACCTGGGCATCTTTATCTATATCAAAATGAGTTCCATTGCGTGTCCAGGAGAAGCTAAAACAATAAAAATAAGAAGTAAAGTTAATTCTTAGCTGCTTTTTGTAGATTGTATGAAGAATAAGAAGAAAAAACAATTAACAAAAATACATATTATGTTTTCATTAGCAGATAAGTAGGACTAGTTCCCAAACTGAATTAACTAATAAAGCAATACAAAAATTTTACTATAAGAAATCTTGCAATATTTTAAGATAAAATATTTGTCTGAACATATTAACAGGAGCTATTTCAAAGTCAATTATTTTTAAAAAAAATACATTAAAAATTTCTGAAGTTAATCATACATGGAAAAGAATTGATTTCCTTTCTATTAAAAATTATGCAGTAACATCTGCAAGAACTGATATTGCTAAAGCCTCATTAGCATTTCCATTATAAAACCTATTGTTGAAAGGGTTTATAAACCTGTCTTTAAAAACTTGCTCAGGGCTGAAATGTGTCATCTCAGGCCCCAGCAGGAGACCATTTCTTTTAATTGGTTTGGTGATTTTGAAGTTATGCAAGTGAATTAAAGATTGTGGTGAGTTTGAGTCCTTTTCACTATTCTAATGCAAACATAATTCCCTAATAGAAATTATATAGTCTGAGAGCCTTTATTTCACCTAGTAAATTTATACCAATACTACTCAAAACAAAAGATATTTTGAAAGGTAGTCCTTAAAAATGAAGATTGATAGAACTCATAAAAAACTTGTCAAGAAGCAGAGATTCACAGTCTACAATTTAGACCATAAACATCACTTTCTTATGCTCTGTTTATGGTCAGAAGTATAGTCACAGAGAGCTTGACCAACACCTATGAAGTGCTGAGCACTCACAGCTTCAAACACTGTGAACAGCAGTTTTCATACTTGTTACATTTCAGCTTCAGAATCTTAAGCACAAACACTTTTTGTGCTGGTATAAATGTATAAATATATATGGTACTGGAAAAGCTTAAATTCTAACTGACTTAAATTGTGCACTGACCCTCTGCAGCAGGACTGGACATGATATTTGCACCTTGTGTTGGGGGAGAGAATAATTGGACCTGCAGCAGCGCTTGGGAGGACTACCAAGCATAGTGAATTAATAGTGAACCTGTATCTTACAACTTTGCAGGTGAAGTTTCAGAATGTGGGGTTTCTGTTACCAATAATATTAAAAATGCAAGAAAGTGTAATGTAGATTCAAATGAGAGGTGGAAAAAGTGGTACAAACCCCTGAATTTGAGATGAGCAACAGTCAGAGTCTTTGCTGCTCTAGCTATAGGTAGCAGCACATCCACAAACCTTTATGCCAGGTGCTCTCACCAGTAAGAAGTTATCACACTGATATCACACAATTCACACTGTGGGCTGAGAAAGTCCACCTTTGACTTCAGAGCTCTGGAGCAGTTCAAGTTCCAAAATACATTTGCAGGTTACCAAGAGTGATGGACCAAGCAGACTAACTATTGATAAAAATTAAATAAATTTCATATCTTAAGAAAACAGCAAGGCTAAGCATAAGCTTAGAAAACTCATTAGAAATTTCTTTACTTAAAACCTGTCCCTCCCTCTGTAGCATGGAAACAAAGCCATGTTTGATGGGGAAGATGAGGATGTGCAGCAGAAAGCCTAGGCACATGGCTTAGGTATCTCAGTCTCACAGGCAGCACTCTTGTTCTCTCAGGTAATTCCAACCAGAAGTGTTCAAGAGAAACATCTGCAGAAGCAACACTGTTGTCCCAAAGTGGACAATAATAATCTGATCCTTTAGGTAAACACCTAGACTATTAAAAATGGTATTGGGCCAGCAAAATTGAAATGCTGTCAAACAAAGCAGCTCTGTGGAACTCCTGTCCTTAATGGAACACTAGAAAGAGTGAGAATATCCCAGATAATCTCCATCTTCTCCATTCTATTGCCCAGCATGATAATGACTGTGATGCCAAGGCAACCAGCAGGAGTAATGCAGAAATAAAACTGATTATTCAGAAAAAATACATCTAACAAGCTCTGTCTGTGTCTGAATGAGCAGTTTAACATGGACCTTGCTAGTAAGGTGTAGCATAACACTGCTAGAGTAGAGAAAAGGGCATTTTTATGTTCACAGTCCCTGCAATCAGCAGCAGTTACTAACAATGCCAGAGTGTATCACGGCTACTGATGTTTCCAGTGCAGGTACTCAGTAACTTGAAAGGAGTAGCTGTCAAATATTTCAAGATGCTGAAAGATAATCTTAAAATGGACAACAAACAGGAATCTAATCCATTTCTGCGAAAACCAAAACTTGAGGCTATTAAATATACAAGATTTAAATTAAATACATTAAATACATTAAATACACATGATCAATAAGACTGATACAGACTACATAACTTCTGACAAATTGTATTTCAAGACCAGCTTCATAAAATGGAATTATTTACAAAACATTACATTTGAATGCATTAGTGTTAGCCTGACTTTATTCACTGTCAGTTCTTCTTAAAGACTATGCCTGAACTTGGCACATGATCCAGCTCATAGTACAGAATGTCTCCTAGTGTGTTCCATGGGCACTTACCTATCTGTAATAATCAAGCATTATTTTACTGTTAAGAGTTTTAAGAAAAAAATGCTACAATTGCTTGATGACTCTAGAAACATTTAAATGTCAAGTGTGATAAGAGTCAAAACTGCATTGCTATCTGGTAGCTGTGTAATTTACAGAGGTACAGATGTGTGCATGTTCTTGCATGTGCAAGCACATTCATACATATAATCTTGATCTTGTTAGTTTACAAAAATTACAGTATGTTCTCCTAGTTCTTCCATACTCCTAGGCCAATAAAAGAAAAAAAAGAAAAGCTACTAACCTAGGAGGTGGCTTTCCTTTGGCTTCACACTGTATTACAATATTCTCTCGAGGGTCAACAATGTAATCTTTTGGAGATTGCTGAGTTATCGTAGGAGGTTGTGACACTTCATTATGAAATACAACAAAGAGAGAGGATTTCAACAATATTTTCAAAGTACCATCAAGACACTTTTGTAAGCAGAGAAAGAAGAACTGCAGTTAGCAACCACATCATTGACAGAAGAGTGGGATTAAAGTATGATTTGTATCAGGAGGCTGAAGTTCTTTACCCTTGTAAATCAGTGTAGCTATGCTAACTTCCAACTGAGCTATCCTGATTTACAGTGGATGAAGATCTTGGCCAAAACATTTAATGAAAATATAATTTCTATACCTCAGATTTCAACAGATTTTTACAAAACCAAAGGACACTCAAATTCTAAGTCCAACAATCTGAAATCAAGAGATGCAAGACATAAACCTCCACAAAATGGTTTTGTACCACACAGAAGGAAAAAATATACATTGCTCTGTGCTTCTAAACATTTTGTATATTTTCAAATTCTTTGCATGTCCACACATTTATTTTGTTTAAGATATTGCCTTAATCTATAAAGCATGCTTTTAAGAACTACTTTTCAGGAGTAAAAAATGTGTTATAAGCAAAAGACACTGTTAAAAATGACAAAAATAGTATCTAGCTTCCAGATAAAGTAAACATGCAGGAAAAGTAAAGCGCCAATTCCCCTTAAGATATCCATAAAAAATATAGTCACGTGAACTGTCCAGGAGATGTAATCATTTAACATTTGTAATTTTTCAAGTACTATAAAACAAATAGCACAGAATAAAAAAAATTGATTCACCTGACAAAGTAGTTGGTGTCTACCTATGGTAATTTATAACCTATTACCATTATCTATGCCCATTTTTGCATTAAAAAACACTGTTTGTGATATTAAGATAGTGAGAAAGGTGTTGTCATCAACATTATTCATATATTTATAGTTTAGTGTCACCTAAATAAACTTGTTTAATAACATGCCCATGAACATCCCTGCCTAAGTGCTGTAAATCACCTGTCCAGCAGTACCCTTTGCTTGTGCTTTGGGGTAATTTCCAGCCACTGGAACAAAATATTTCAATCATTAGAGTTAGTTTGGTTCTCATGCCTCACTCTAGACAGTTAAAATTCTACAACTGGGATTTTTATTTAAGTCTTCCTTAAGGATACCATTACACATTAAGTACTCCTTTGCACAGATGGAGGTAGCTGTCTGTAAAACCCTAGCTGCAAGAAACAGCAGTGAAAAGAAATCAGATCATGGAATCATAACCCAACACATGAGCTAAGCAGAAGAACAGGCCATGGAGAACTGGGTTCTGCTCCTCACTGCACAGGGGAGAATCCTTGAAAGAGGAAGGCAACATTCTTACATGATGCCTTTGTGTGCATTTCTTTAGGAGTACTTGAAGGCGGTCCTTCTCCCTCTCAGAGGCATCTCTCAGGGTATGTATGTATCAGATGGCAAATTCACTCTGAAAAAAGATTTGCCACAAACACTGCCCAGCCTACAGGATATTTCATCTGATGCACATAAAAGACTTGAAATCTCCACTCCTGTGTTATGGACTGCACTTAAAACTGATTAAATTAACCATAAAACTAAAGCTAAGTTAGAACCCATAAAATATGAGGTCTACTTAAATAGCTATATCCACTGTGGATATAAAAATATGTCCACATCAGATATGTAACATAGTACAAAAGTACATATATTCCAATAATTTTTAATCAAATATATTTACTCCTGAAAGTAGTAATAAAACACTGCACATGCTGATTTTGAGTGAAGATTTTAATGTTCAAATAGCACACCATCAAAAATCACACAATTAATTTATTCAGAATATCAGAATGTTGTTTTATGTACATTAGTATTTTCTGAACACTGCATGCACAAAACATCTAGATACAGCAAACAAAATTATCAACAAGATGTCAGAATCACACATTTTTGGCAACAAATTCAATTTGCAGCACAATCTGTATTAATTTTCAGCAGCACGCAGCCTATTTTTAGGTGAAGAGTAACTTACATTCTTCTAGAAGTTTTGCTTTTATTCCCACATCAGAATCAGCAGTTGAATGGACAAATGGAGATTAAAGAGAAACATTTGTTAGTGAAGAGAAAATTAGCAATTTTGAGAGGGAAGATAAGTATCTCTGACAAGTACATTGGTCACCATTAAAAAGAAAACTTTTAAAACATCCAGCACTGCAACCCATGCAGCAAAGCCTGAAATTCCAACCACAATTTCCATTGTGTTAGATCTTACTACATTTATCTTAAAGCTCTTGGCATGAGAAACTTTCCTGAAGTGTTGACTTTTTAATGGCAACCATGCTATGTGATTTTGGCCTTGCAAGGACATAAAATACAAATACTGAGGTGACAGCAGCAAATCAGAATTAATGGACTGTACTATGCTCATGCTGCAGTCAAAATCAATCCACCCATATGATCACATGGAAGAACAAAGAGAATGCTTCAGGCTAAAATTACTCTTGTAAAGACAAAAGCACCTAATCCTACTCAACAGACTTGCAACGCTTTCTGGCTTGAAAAATAACTAAACAAAAAAAAATCATCTAAACTAATTGGAATTATTGCTTAATTCCAATGTTTTGCATAAACACCTCCCTTTATCAATAGGCCAAATGTCCCTGAGTCCCTACATTTTCAGTCATTCCTGGCCTGCTTTGAGGAGACACTGACTAGGAACTAGTGAACTTGCTATGAATAGAAATTTCTAACCTGGATGAAACCTAAATATTCAACTAATCAAGTAGGTTCTCACCACCAGGCCTCTATGGTTGATATTCAGGGAAGACCCACAAAGAATCTAAGTCCTTCCCTTGTGGTGCTCTCCCAGAGACCATTCTCATCATTATTTATGAAAGCGATACCATCATTCCAGATGTAATTTCTGGCTAAAAATTCAAGTATGTGACTTTATCAGACCTCACAAAATTAATAAGCATGAAGCAGAAGAGAATTAAATTCTCAGTACAGAATTAAAATGATACATCCAAAAGGGCTATTATTTTTTGTCTATTGATGAATTTCTGGTAACTTTAACCTAAAATCTCGCTCTTAAGATAACAATATTAAAGAGGTGCAGAATCTATATTAGTTGCTAAACTACAAGATAGGTTTAAAAGACTATTTATAGCCTGAAAAGATGTTTAAGGAGAAAAATTAAGTGTTGAAAGTAACACATTCATTTATTCATCAAACTTTCAAAGCCTTCCTTAACCCACAGCTTATTCCTCTAAAAGCATTTGCAACACAACAAGTTGGATGGCATTCAGATATATTGATTTTGTTACAGAAATACAGGTCATTGGTTTGATAGGCTTGTAAAATGCATGGGAAAAAAAAACCACCAAAGCACTTGCAATGTATGTCAATGATTATTAAAGAAAAACATGCATTTCTGGAAGGGAGGAAGGTATCAAAACCACGGGGTAAAGAAAAACATGCAGATTAGAATCACAGGCAAATTTACTGATGTATTAATCCATCAATTAAACACCAGCCCTAATGTTCTCTTCCCTGGAAATTAGTTTAACAAATGAATCATCACTGAGAGGTGCAACATGGCTCACTGAATTCTGAAAATGTGATCATGTTTATCTTAGAAAGAAAACAGCAACCTAAAACATGAGTAATTTAATAAAAATTAGCTATTGAGAATGTAAAACACAGAAGCTACCATTGCTCCCTTTTCAACATGGAGTGCTATCTTCAAGGTTCCCCACTAACAGAGTCTTGTATTAGACAAGAACTTCAGATAATGGGATTTCCCCTCCTCCAGGCGTTTCCTCATGTGTTAACGCTGGACTTCCCTGCCCAGCACATTTCTAACATGTTTTTAAGAAAAAATTCTTAACTGTTTTCAGGCACTACTCAAGAAATCTAAGAGCCTTACTTACCCTTTGGCATCAAAAAAATAAGATGCTCTGAGTGCCTGAATTTTAGGTATTTGAATTTTTTACTAGCTCTCATACCAGCTCCAGGGAACCTCTTCTCTGAAGGTAAGGGTGATTTGATTGTTTACAGCCACTAGGAACTGTCCTGGGATTTTTAGAAAAATATAAATGTGATCTTAATTTCACAAATAATTAACATTTAGCAGGGCTTTTCTGGCTTTCTTCAGTTTGATCAAACAAAGGCACACTGAAATGTAAGTAGGATTCTGCGAGAATCCTGTGTTACACCTCCTCAACTGAACAACGTAACTCATTTTATATGCACAGGTTTTGAAAATCTTCAGTAAGTCAGTGTAAATATTCATAATTATAATGTCCTGATTGAAGTGACCAAACACACTCTATTTTTAGCTCCATGTTGGAGTTATCTTTAGTTTCCTACAGAAATTATTTAATTACTCTTCCATTATTCTGCACTTATTTATCAGGTTAATACTTACAGTCAAGAGGTACATCCAGTGCAGAAATAATTTGGCACAGAAAGAGGACCAGGGAAGTTTTGCTTGTAGACATGCTCATCTTTTTCGTCATGATTTTAAGCTGTACTGAGTAAATCACACTTGAAGAATGAAGTTCAACTTCGTAAGACTAGATAGTTTGTGGTAGTTATGTAAATATAGACAAAAACCTGATAAACAAAAAAAAAAAAGAATGATATGCAGATATAATGGAGAGTTAAATGGTCACATGCATCTTAAAAATATTATGAAATACAAGCAGTCTAAATACTATATCTAAAGATAAGGGTTACACCATGCATTCTACTGAAATCCAAGAAATTCACAAGGTCATCTAGATCATAACACTTTCCTAAAGAAGCTAATGAAGAAATCCCACAACCTTATTGAACGGAAATACAAATACCTCTCCTAAGAAGGATAAAGCATCAGTCAGTCCATCTAGTTAAAAAAAGAGTATATACTAAAGATAACAGTCCTCTGAAGTAGATTTAGAGGATTACAGCTCTGAATGCCCACCTAGTCTCTCTTTCAAGCACCCTGCACCATTCTTGGAAAGAGGCATTTTAGGCATCTACTCCAATGAAAATATGTCAAGCCATGAATTTGCTAAGTAAACTGTGGAATCTTTCTGCAGCTTTGAGTTAGGTGTCCCAGCTTCTCCCCACTTTGGAACTCTTTCTAATAAGGCAGCTGTGGACTGAATACACATGACTTGATTAAGGTGCTAAGGTGCTATCCTGAGTTCTGTACCTAGGCTCCTACTTCTGGATATCTGATTCCTCTCAAAATAGGTAACATCAAAATGCTTTGTCATTTCTAGCCTGAAACCAAAATATAATTAACTGTCAGCATATTCTCAAACACCCTTCTCCTCCTTTCCTATGTGACAAACTGCCGGAAATGAAACTTAAGTTCTTGGAAATCTGTTAGATTTCCCTCCTCAGCCAAGCATGAGAGATCACATTAGCCATGCAGAATGATTCTGGTTCCCTTCTTATTTTCTGCATTCAGGAACAAGCTCTAGCTGAGAAAAATGGAGGAGTGACAACTGCCTGCAAGCCCCATCAGCATCACCAGTGACCAACAAAGAGCTGCGCAGCCCTAGAAATCCAAATGGTGCTTGCACAATGCATTCTCAGTAAATGAACATCCACTGAGAAAGTACCTCCCAGATGGATCAGGAAGTTCACAGTGATCAGCATTAAGTCACCTTGAAGAGAACACTTGCTCAGCTCTGGCTACAGATATGAAACACAAAGCTATCCAGTCTACAAGGAGTTAAAGCTGCAAAGAAGCACCTGCTTTACAAATGTTAAATTAAGATTTGTTTGTGCTTCCTGAAGTCACTTAAGCCAGTCTATGGTAAGAATTTCCCTCAATTTTCACATTACAGAAGAAATTATGCTTCTTAATTGCTGCTGTAAATTATCTTTCTCTTTGTACAGTTCTCTGAACAAGACTGGAATTAGAAACTAGAACTGAGGTGTGGAGCTCTATTTCTCATCCTAATCTAGGACATCAAACTCCTTGATTCTTACTGTCACTATCTGCAAAACAGATTTTTCTATCAAAATAAGAATATTCCAGTAGGTTAAAGTTCTAGACATGTACTATTTGGAGTTGCTGTGAACTACTGATTGGACAGGGCAAGTTGCTTATTGACATTCCAAACTATCTCTAGGACTGCATACTGTAATGTAATGACTAATTACTTATCATGGCAAATGAGAAAAATTATAAAACACATCAGAAGAGAGGACACCATAGTTCAGGCTTTAGCATAATTATTTATATAAATATAAACTGGAACTTCACAAGCAGTCAAGGTGGCATGCTAATCTACAAAACATTCAGAAAGGGGTTCAGACACCTAGCAGGAAAGCATGAAAAATACTCAGACTTTTCTAGAAAAACAAACTGAAATTTGCTATATTTTAAATAAGCACCCTAAATTACTGGGGTTGAGGTGGGAAAGGTGAGAAGTGCTTTCCTCATCCCATTTTGGCACATACAGTTTTCTACGCTCCTGCTGAAGTGAGCAAGGAGAAGGAGTAGAGCTTCTGTCAAGAGTGCCTGAGAACACTCCAGCATGTTTCCTGCAACGAAGTGCTCTCCAAAAAAGCGGATTTTATTCCAGCAAGCACAGCTGTCTGCTCTTCTCAGTTAAACTAGGTTCTCACCCTCTGTTCTCCTGATTAATATGCCATCTCTTCATTACAGTATCACTGCAATTATCAAGGTGCCCTCTCTGTGCCATGACCTGGGATTTACAGGATACTCTTTGAAGTACTGCACAAGAGAACCTTGACTTCTATTGTTTCTTCTCCATGCAACATTTCAGTTCTCCTTCTGAAACCCTGAAAACCTGATTATCCACTTTATTGTCTTGTTCTTTCGACATGTAAAATGAGTATTGCAGTGATTTGAGAGTATTTTAAAATCAAATTGCATTTGCTTTGAACAAGTACAAATGAATACACAAGCACTGGTGAATCAGGCAGGGGCAATTAAAATGATTGGGAAAGTAATACTCTTGAGAAATTGTCTCATATTGTCTACCTCTGCTGCTGCAAAGTTCCAGTTGGATACCAATTGAATCTGCTGCTGGGATGTTTGGGTATAATATGGGAATTCAACCTCAGAGAGCCCAAAGGTTTGCGACAGAATATTACTGAAAATGATTTTAGGTTTGTCAGCACAACTGGGTGCTCTTGTTGAATGTAGTCAAGATTAAATCTGGCATAATTTAGTATGAATACAACAGCTGCTATGTAGAACTAAACATTGCTTTGACATAACATTATCTGCTACAAAATAAGGACAGGCCTCTAAGCACAGATCAATGTAAAGGCTTCAATTGCAAAACTTGAAATATTTATACAACAGATTGCCTTTTCCTCCAGATAATTTATTTACGATCTCTTGTAACTGAGACATTTTTTTCCTACCCTTTTCATAGGAAAACAAATATATTGTCACAGTTTGGTCAGGAGTTTGCTCACCAATTTGTACAAAATATGATTTTCTACACTTGCATACCTCTTATGTACCTAACAAAATGTCACTTGTTATGTCTAATGTGCTTCTTGATGAGATGCTGATTGTGACTAACAACATGGACTAAGGGTTGAAGCTATGGGATAGCAAACAGGAGTCCAGTTAAATAAAAATGCATAAGCAAAGTGCAATAGTATTTCATCATAAAGTATAATTTCATAAGGCAAGGGTTTTATGTACGTATTACAAAAGAACCAGGATCAAGTGAGAGACATCAACCTTTTTTTCACTTGGGGGAAAAAAAAAACCAAACAAGGAATTACTTTTTAAAAATGACCCACAGAAAGACACAATTAGAAGAATGAAGGCACCTGAGGTGAGCCTGAGGTAGACTATATGGCAGAAGGTCAAGACACAGTTGGTTCCCAGTGGTCTCTTCACTGGGACCATTTGGCTATAAACAGCAAAACACTGAAGAGCTAGGAAAAACAACATGTATATGGAAGGGATAATTTGGAAGGCAGAATTCAAGACTCCTTTTGTAAATCAAAAGGGACAAGGATCTCCTCAATTTTAAGAGCTCAAGAGCAAATGAATCACAGAATTGTTAAGTTTGGAAAAGACCTTTAGATCATCAAGCCTAACTATCAGCCCAGCACTGCCAAGTTCAACACTTCACTGTGTTTCTAAGTGCCACAGCTACATGTGTTTAATTACCTCCAGGGAGGAGAGCTCAACCACTTCTCTGAGAAGCCTCTTCCAGTGCTTCATAATTATTTCAGTAAAGAAACTTTTCTTAATATTTAATCTAAACCTTCTCTGGAGCAATTTGAGACTGTTCCCTCTTGTCCTTTTGCTTGCTGCTTGGGAGAAGACACTGGTACATCATGGGTTACATCCTTCCCTTCTACTGAAGAAGCATCCATCCTACCTACTCACTGACACTCCCTGAATTGTGTCCAGGCACCATAGAAGGACAATTGGTCAGGTCAGTATTTGCCAAAGAGAGTGCTATCAGCTGAACAGTATCCACGACTGTAGAGCAAGCACCCACACACAGAGGATATTTTACTATACTATACCAGTACTGAGTAATACTGATTTCTGATTGGAATATTAATACAGACAGACACACTATCAATTGACACCTCAAAGGTGAGTCAATTGAGGCTCCAAATGCCAGAAAGGACACATTTTTCCTCTGGCTGTCTTCAACAGAAGCATACAACATGTTTAATTTCCTTGTAAGTGCTGCTGGAATATTTCTTTTTTAGGATGTAAGAGTGTAAGGAAGTGTGTTTACTGAAATTCGATCTACTCCAAAGTTAGACAGCATTTTCTAAACGTAATATTGTTGCACAGAGATTTGATGCATCACTGATTATGCATATCTACTCAATTATATTATTTTTAAGACAAAAAGTTCTTTAGAAATGTGAATGGAAACCAAGGTCAGTGTAAGAAATGTGAAAAGGTAATTAAATTGCAAGATAGAACAACTGGAATATTTCATACACATTAGGGGAAAAAAGCATTATCTTCTATATAAACATGATTAAATTAATGCAGTACAAGTTAGACACTGGAGATTAGAGAAAAATTATTACTTAGCAAAAAACTCCCTCTGCTTCATTTGTCTAATGCCTCTATAGTGAAAGAGAGACATAATTAGAATATAGGAAAAATAAATAGTTTTCAAGGAAATTTGTTTCATAGCAGTCTTATATCCGCAGAAACATGAAAAGCAATTTTAAATGGCATAAATGTATTTAATGATTTGTACATTAAAAAGAAGTGTTGAAGATTATAATAAAAAAGCACAAAATGCTCACTTTTGAGGACAACAGCAATACCCTTGTCACTTAATGGAAGGTCTTTACAGGACTTACGTGGTTTACACAACTATGCTAGCTATGCAAGTATTAATAAGATTATTTAAAATATTTTTGAACCAATGGTTTCAAATTTCACCCTTCTTCTTAGGTTATCTAATATTTGCAATAATAGGCCACATAAAAACCACTAATTATAAACAAATATTTAATTAAAATATTTCAAACAGAAATAGATAACAATGCACTTAGTGTTACACTACGTAAGTGGCACAGACACAG